TGAAAGGCTGACTTTTATTTTTAAGTGCATCAGATGCTGTTTCCTTTTTTAAAAATATATATTTTTATTGATTTCAGAGAGGAAGGGAAAGGGAGAGATAGAAACATTAATGATGGGAGAGAATCATTGATAGGTTGCCTCCTGCACGCCCCCTACTGGGGATCGTGCCCGCAATCGAGGCATGTGCCTTTGACTGGAATCAACACAGTCTGCAGGCTGACACTCTATCCACTGAGCCAAACTGGCTAGGGCAAAGATTGACGTTTTAATTCCCCATCAGGGCACATGCTTGGGTTTCGGGCTTGTTCCCTGGTAGGGGGGCTTGCAGGAAGCAGCCAGTCTGTGTTTTACTCTCACATCGATGTTCCTCTCTCCCTTTCTCTAAAAAAAAAAATCAGTAAGCTTTAGCTGGTGTGGCTCAGTGGACAGAGTGTCAGCCTGCAGACTGAAGGGTTCTGGGTTCGATTCCAGTCAAGGGCACATGCCCGGGTTGTGAGCTCTATCCCCAGTGGGGGGGAGGGGAAGTGCAGGAGGCAGCTGATCAATAAAAGTATATCTTAAAAAATCAGTAAAAGCATGGGTAGATATTGAAAGTATGTCTCCCTCTCATTCCCATCTTGTTCCCCTCCTTAAAAGGCCATCACCTTGACAGTTTCTCACTTACCCTTCTCAAAATATTATTTGCATTAAGAAGCATAGTTATTCTTTTATAATAACAAGTGGTAGTGTACCATACATACTACTTTCATCTAGCCTACTTTAAATTTAATTTTTTAAATGGTTTACAAAGTAATTTATATTGTTTTAAGATTCAAAGATTTTCTGCACTCTTGCTTCTACAGCTTCAATCCCTTTAGCTAATTCTTCCTGTATTTACTTCTTTGTTGCTAAATAATAAGCTTATATGGCTATTTGCTAATTTTTCAATTTTAGCCACTATATAATGTTTTTACAATATAAGATTAGGACTTAGCTCTCTAAATACTCCACATGGAACACTCATCCTTCTTCCAAGAGTAGACTCTACTTTTTGGGTAAATTAGTATTTATTTTATTTATAATTATGACTATATAATTTTGTTTGCAATGGAACTGAATGAGTATTATGATTAAATTTGCCTCCAAGGCACATTTTCCTCGGCTGGAATTTATCATTGCCCTGATTTTGTTTTGTTTTGTTTTGATTCCCTCTGTCTGAAGTATAAACCTCCTCTCAGATTGTTGGAACACAGTAGGTAGCCTGCTGACCTCGTGTGATGGCCTTCAGCTCCAATCTGTACTGGTTGCAATTGTCCTGGCCCTTCCCGACACCTACATACAGGGAATCTCTTTGTTTCTCTTCTGTGTGGATCCACTATGTGGATCCTAGATACCATGTTTTTATTTTCCTTGGTTTCACGCTCTGTTTTAGTAGAATTTATCATCCAGTAGCTTCCTGAGGAAAAGAGCACAGAAAGTAAATTTCCTGTGTTTCACGCCTAAAAACACCTTATAGATATAAAATAATGTTCTTTAGAATTCTGAAGATTTTCTAGATTTTAAGGGTATTATTAAGAAATCCAGCCGAAACCGGTTTGGCTCAGTGAATAGAGCATCGGCCTGCGGACTGAAAGGTCCCAGGTTCGATTCCGGTCAAGGGCATGTACCTGGGTTGCGAGCATATCCCCAGTAGGAGATGTGCAGGAGGCAGCTGATCGATGTTTCTCTCTCATCGATGTTTCTAACTCTCTATCTCTCTCCCTTCCTCTCTGTAAAAAATCAATAAAATATATTAAAAAAAAAAAAAGAAATCCAGTGTTACCCTGGCTGGTTTTGCTCAGTGGATAGAGCATCCGCTTGGGGACTGAAGGGTCCCGGGTTCAATTTGGGCCAAGGGCACATACCGGGGTTGTGGGCTTGGTCCTCAGAAGGGGCGTGCAGGAGGCCCTTTTTTTTTTTTTTTAAAGAAATCCAATGCCATTCTGAGTATGTAACTGAGTTGTATGCAACCTGTTTTTCTGACAGCCTTTGGAAATTCTTCTTTTTAAAAATATATTTTTATTGATTTCAGAGAGAAAGGGAGAGGGAGAGAGAGAGAAACATCAATGATGAGGGAGAATCATTGATCTGCTGCCTCCTGCAGGCCCCTACTGAGATGGAGCCTGCAGCCCAGGCATGTGCCCTTGACCGGAATCAAAGTCGGGACCCTCCAACCCGCAGGCCAACACTCTATTCACTGAGCTAAACCAGCTAGGTCTAAAAATGTTTTTATTGATTTTAGAGAGAGAGGGAAACATCAATTTGTTGTTCCAGTTATTTTATTTATACATTCATTGGTTACTTCTCATATGTGCCCTGACCAGGGATTGAAGCTGCAACCTCAGAATATTGGGATGACACTCCAATCAAATGGGCTACCCAGCCAGGGCCTGTTTTCATATTTTTAGTTTACAAGAAGTTTTTGTTATTTTCTGAATGTTCCTATTTTTAAAAAAGCATCCTATTCTTGTATCATCAGAGCAATATCTTCTCTTATTTTTCAGAGGATATTAATTGCAATTTTGGGGACATTGTTGTCTTTCTTTATCTTTAGGCTTCTGTCTTTCATGTTTGAGACTGCCTTCAGCTTTCTTCGGATCCTTGGCTGTCTTCCTACTTAAGCATGAGACCCAAAAGGTCAGAAAGCTGGGTGGGCAGGGTCAGAGGCTGTCAGCGGTGTGCCTCAGTGTGGGGCAGATGAGGGAGGGACCAGTTTTCAAGTTTCTGTAAACTTTTTCTCCTGGGCCACTCATTATCCCCCCCAAAGGAATTTTCCAATTCTCCTGTCCCTGCTTACAGAGGACTAAGAATTTTTAATTTTTAAAATCTTTACAAGTTCTAAGATTCCAATTATTTTGTTCATTTTTGGTTTCCCCCTCCCTACGTTGTAAGTAGAATAGAAAATATTAAAACTTTAGGATTTAAACTCCCAGACCTATGACTTTACATTTTTCAAAATAGCATCTCTCATTTGTCTACTCTCTTTGTCCATGTACATTTATGCTTTTTAAAAATATATATTTTATTGATTTTTTATAGAGAGGAAGGGAGAGGGATAGAGAGTTAGAAACATCAATGAGAGAGAAACATCCATCAGCTGCCTCCTGCACACCCCCCACTGGGTATGCGCCCGCAACCAAGGTACATGCCCTTGACCGGAATCGAACCTGAGACCCTTCATTCTGCAGGCCGATGCTCTATCCACTCAGCCAAACCGATTTGGGCAACATTAATGCTTTTTTATTTCTTAACTGTCATGTTGATGTCCATGTTTAACCAGAAGCTCCTTGCCTCCTGAAGTCTCAGTTACCGCTACTTCATAAGGTGTGACAGGATGTGGAAGAGAATTTTTCTGTTGTTTTGGAGTTTGAGCTGTGTCCTCAAGGAGAAAAGAACATGTAGGTAACCCCCCCCCCCCCATCGTAAGGAAAGACTTTACTAGTCAGACAAAAGGGCATAAATCTCCAAAATGAAGGTTCCTATCATCGTTGTCAACTCATTTAAGTTGGCAAGTTTACTGGGGATAGAGCCCACAACCTGGGCATGCACCCTGCCCGGAACTGAACCAAATGCCTCCTGGTGCATGGGAGGACCCTCCATCCACTGGGCAGCAGCGGCCGGCACAGAACCGCCTTTAAGAACCACGCCCAGGCTGCCCGCGGCTGCGTGCGCACCGTCTACGAGGCTCACCAGCCAGCTCGTGTGTGCGAGGTGGCAGGCACTCGGCGAGCAGATGAATTCTGAGTGAGTGCGGATTACAATGTCAAGGAAACTCTTTTTTCCAAGCACCTCTCCCCCTTCTCCCGCCTCTAGGGGGCGGGGCAACAAAGCGCGGGAAAATCGGCCAGTTCTCCACCCTCATCCTTGCTGGGGGCAGGGAAAAAGAGATCTTGTAACCAATGGACATAAGACACTGGGGGATAGGGGAGGCTAGGGGACTGTCTAGGGCGGGGGGGGGGGGGGGGGGGATGGACACATATGTAATACCCTTTGTATTACTTTAAGCAATAAAAAAAAATGTAAAAAAAAAAGAGATCTTGCCAAAACCGGTTTGGCTCAGTGGATAGAGCGTCGGCTTGTGGACTGAAAGGTCCCGGGCTCGATTCCGGTCAAGGGCATGTACCTTGGTTGCGGGCACATCTCCAGTTGGGGGTGTGCAGGAGGCAGCTGATCGATGTTCCTCTCTCATCGATGTTTCTAACTATCTCTCTCACTTCCTCTCTGTAAAAAATCAATAAAATATATTTTAAAAAAAAGAGATCTTAAATGGGAAATGGGTCTATCTATATATGTATGCACACACACACACGCGCGCGCGCACACACACACACACACATACACATAAATATGTAATTCAGGGTGTCCCAACAAAATGCATGCACTGTAACAGCTGTTAGCTCAATTTTGAAAATGAAATGTATTTTAATAAACACTGCCTTTATAATTATTGTGTATACATTTTGGGGGGACACTGTGTGTGTGTGTGTGTGTGTGTGTGTGTGTGTGTGTGTGTGTGTGTGTGCGCGCGCGCGCGTGTGTGTTTCGGAAGCCTACCAATGAGCCGCTTTAAGATCCCTTTGGAAATGGCCCAGGCCACGCCAGCACCCTAACGTCACCTCTCCTCCACTTCCGGTCTGCATGCCTGCCGCAGCTTCAGGTGCCGGTCCCTTCCACACTCCAACCCCTGCTCTGCTCCACGCCCTCCCGCACTGGGGGGAGCTATGGGTGACGCCAGCCTGCTAGGGGCCGCGCGAGGACCCCATCCATCTGGCGATTTAGACAGTAGGAAAACCGCAGGATAGTCAACCAGATGACGTAATGTTTTGGGTGAGGTCCCATTCTCTCACTTCTGCATGGCATGACTGACGCTGGAGTTTAGCTTGAGAAAGCGCAAACGGACCTGCACATCCGGGTCCTTTCAGAATCGAAGCGATTCTCCTCAAAGTGTTCACCTAATCGAAGCCGAGAGTTCCTGAAATTTGTATAAGTGAACTGCAGGCTTTCGGGATCGCGGCCAATAGGGAGCGAGGGGGCGGAGATGCACCTGGAGAGTCACCGCCTCCAGTAGGAAAGCAGGGAATCAGAGCGGCTTCTTCCTAAACGACAGGTAGCGCGGCCAATCGCTTTTGAGATGCACAGATGGGGCAGGTGGCGGCACAACCAATGGCAAGAGGCACTTCGGAAGGACTAGGCTCCTTGCCCAATGAAGCTAGGAAGACCGTGCGGGTTTGTCCGGAGCGGCAGTACTTAAGGCCAACCCAGTGTGGGGCTGGGCGGGGCGCACCGCTGAACGACGAGGGGATTGGCCAATGGCGAGTACGAAAGCCGGCCGCCCAGACCGGGAACGCCGAGGGAGCTGAGGAAGGGGAGGCCGAACGGGAGAGAAGCAGGAAGTAGCGGCGGCGGCGGGGAGGGCTGCGGTGGCGGCGGCGGCGGCGGCAGCGGCCGGGGCAGGGGAGGGACCGCCAGCGCTCAGCCCGCACTAGGAGCCAAACAAGTAAGCGCGCCGGGGGTGATACCCGCCCTAGGCCCCGCCCCCGGGGGGGCGGGTAAATGCCCCCGCCCCTCCCCCACTTGGTCAACTACCCCCTTCTCCGCGCCGTCCCCCCGGGGCTGCTTCTAGGAAGGCCGGGACCCCGCTCCCCTTCCTGGGGGCGGATGGGCGACCCCCCCAGCCTGTTGAAAGCACAGCCCCTCGCCGGGTAAACGTGGAGGGCGGGCCGGGGTCTCCAAGTCCTGGGGCTCCCAGCCCAAGAAGCGTCCGAAGCGCGGCCCGGGGGCTGGAGGCTGCGGGGTGTCGCGACCCAAAATGGTGTCCGCGTCCAAGGGTGGGGGCGGGGGACCCGCAGGCCGGAGCAGAGCCTGCACCCCGGCGGGGCGCGGGTCAGCGTCCGGGCCGGGCAGGACTCGGGCTCGCGCCCTGGCCGCCGCGCGCCTCCCGCTCACTCGCCCCTTGAGGGGTCTGGGGAGTCGGGGGCCGGAGGCTGCGGCGCCGGGGCGGCGAGGGGAGGCGGTCGGAGTTGGGACGGACCCCGAGTCGCGCACAGACCGTGCTGCCCCCACGGCTCCCTTCCCGCGCGCCTCACCCCCTCGGGAGTCCTGGGCCCCGAGGTGCGGTGCGGCGGTCCCTCCGGGCTTGGCCTGGCCGAGGCCCGTGCTCCTCGCTCGCCGGTGTGAGCGAGAGGCGCCGCCGCCTCAGTTTCCCCGCTGGCTTCTCCAGTGTGCACCCCGCCCCTTCCCCGCAGCGACGGCCGTGCTCCGGGCGCCGGCCCTCGGCAGATGGCAGGGACTTAATTCCGCCCGCTGCCCCGCTTGGCGGCCGCCTCATCGCCCCCAGCCGCCAGCCCCTCGCCCTCTGCGCTGCAGGCCCCTGGCCAGGAGAAGGGCAGTGGAGCCCCCACCCAACCCGCACCAGTTCGCCCTCTTCCTGTTTAGCCCTTTCCTTTGGCTTTTGGGGAAGAACGGAGGGAAGGGGGGGCGGGGGCAGAGCCCTGGAGACTGGGCGCAGCCGCCGCAGAAAGGCCTGGGCAGCGAGGTGGGGAAGCCTCTGGCCCGAGCTCCTCTGCGTGGTCTCTGCCTGCTCCTGGCTCTCGGACGACCGCTATTCACTTGGACGCAGGAGGGGTAGCTGCTTGGAGGAGGCGAGTTTGCAGATGTTTTCTCTCAGTCCCCATTGAACTGTGCGCCGCCAGCCCCGAGGGAAATGCAGCTCGGGCCTCCCCAGGTCAGGAGGGAGCCGGGCAGAAGAGGGCCTAGCGATCCATCCATCAGGGCAGAGGCAGGAGGTGGAGGGCTTTGTTTAAATGCAGAGCCTGCAGAATTGGGGGGGGGTGGGGGGGGTGAGGGGAGAACGCCCCTTTCTTCCTCTGATTGGTACCCTCACCCTCTGCCCCCACCCTGGTCCCAGCAATGCCACCTGCCACGTGCTGGGACCACCTCCAGGTACAGTCTCAGCCTAAGAGGTGAGAGAAGTGGCCCCGGGAAGTGGCCTGCAGCCCGGCAGGGAGTGTGTGTGTCAAGGGGGAGACTTCTTCAGCAGCCTCTTCCAGATACAGACACACTGGTGGGGAAGGCAGTAAGGGAGCAGGCTGGGCCCCCCACCAGCTCGAGGCTGGCCTTCTGGTTGTTTTAGTGGCACATCAGTCCTGTGGGATTTTTTTTTTTGTACTGGGCAAGGTTGGGGTTGGGTGAGACTTCCTGGGCTACTGTTGCCAAAGCAAAATTAAGTGGGGGAGGAGAGTGAGTTAGGGGATGAACTGGGGTGATAGGGGTGAGAGGGCCTGGCTTTTCCCCATGTGGCAGCTGTGCTGGATAAGCTTGTACCCTAGAGTTTTAGTCCTGAGAGAGCAAGATGTGGAGGTAGGAGGGGCGGGCCAGGGGCGGGCCCAGGCACTCTGGGGAAGGTAGGTGAGGGAGCACCAGGTGTTTATGACGCGAGAAGGCCCTTGTGACCAGGCTCCTCTCGGTTTTCCCCGTCTTGTCTCTTTGTCTCTTTCTGTTCCTGTGTCTTATTCTATCGTGGTTTCTTGGGCGATTACACTGAGTCCACTTCTCTCTGTTAACCACGCTGGATCTCCAGGTGCCAGTGATGACCCCAGGTGCCTCAGACTTGACCTTGTAATTATCCCTGACTCTTGCCTCGATCCCAGCTCTACATTTCCAGTGCTTACTCCTCCCCAGCCCTGCCACGACCTCACATGGCCTTGTTTGTCTTGTCATAATTAATTGTATTCTTGGTTCTGTCATGTTTACTATTTCATATCATGCTCAGGATAACCCTATGATATATGGGTTACTTGTCCCCTCTTTCATTCAAACGACAAAAGGAAGGCAATGGAGTAACTTGCTCATCTCCAGCAGGCTATTGATAAAGCTGGAACGAGAATCATGTCTTGTGTCTCGTGACATGGTTTTTCAGATCTCTGTAGACCAGCGGTTCTCAACCTGTGGGTCGCGACCCCTTTAGGGGTCGAACGACCCTTTCACAGGGGTCGCCTAAGACCATCGGAAAACACATATATAATTACAGATTGTTTTTGTGATTAATCACTAGGCTTTAATTATGTTCAGTTTGTAACAATGAAAATGCATCCTGCATATCAGATATTTACATGACGATTCATAACAGTAGCAAAATTACAGTTATGAAGTAGCAACAAAAATAATTTTATGGTTGGGGGTCACCACAACATGAGGAACTGTATGAAAGGGTCGCGGCATGAGGAAGGTTGAGAACCACTGCTGTAAACCCTCAGAACATCCATGAAGAATATGAATGGAGCCCGAGTCCGGCCGGCGTGGCTCAGTGGTTGAGCTTCGACCTATGAACCAGGAGGTCATAATGGTTTGATTCCCGGTGAGGGCATATGCCTGGGTTGCAGGCTCAGTCCGCAGTGGGGGGCATGCAGGAAGCAGCCAATTAATGGTTCTCTCTTATCATTGATGTTCCTATCTCTCTCTCCCTTCCTCTCTAAAATCAATAAAAATATACTTAGAAAGAATAAGAATGGAGACCGTGCTGCCATGAATGAGCTCTCACACCTAGAGCATGTGTCTGCTCCCCCCTGAATAGTAGTAACTAACGGACTGGACACAGGAGGGGCTTAGGTGCTTTCAACCAAGATACACTGAACTCTCTCCGTCTCTGTTACTCTTACCTTGTATATGTGTTTCTGAGAAGTCTTTTCCTCTGCTTTCTCTGGATCTTGGTGTCTTCTATGGATGTGCACACCACCTTTCTTCCTATTTTAGGGTTTGGCAAACCAAGCGCCTCTACGAACTCTCTAGGATTTGCACTCTGATGGAGGTGTGCCTCAGTCACAGTGTGCATGGGTTTCTGAGAGGAGAGAACTATGGAGACCCTGAGGGAGCAGGTCCCGGGTTTCTGCTTCCAGTGATTGCAGTTTCTCTCTCTTCTTCCTCTTTTCATCAGGTCTGGGACTTGCCGCCATGGGAGACATGAAAACCCCTGATTTTGACGACCTCCTTGCCGCCTTTGACATCCCCGACATTGATGCCAATGAGGCCATCCACTCTGGGCCGGAAGAAAATGAGGGGCCAGGAGGCGCGGGGAAGCCAGAACCCGGTGCAGAGGGTGAGCCTGGAGAAGCAGCAGCAGCAGCTGGAGATGGCCCTGGCGTCTCAACCCAGGCCTCTGATCACGATCTGTCGTCGGGGGACATCTCAGTCGTCAGCGTCATTGTCAAGAACACTGTGTGCCCTGAGCAGTCTGAGTCCCTGGTTGCAAGTTCAGGAGGGGAAGGGGCCCGGGCTGGGGGTACAATTAAGGAAGAACCTGTGGGGCCTCATCTGATGCAGAATGGTTTTGGGGGCCCTGAGCCATCCCTTCCAGGAAACCCCCACTCTCCAACTCCTCCCAGTGGAGGTACCTGGAAAGAAAAAGCCATAGAAGGCAAAGCAACTTTGGACCTCTTCGCTCATTTTGAGCCTGAGCCAGGGGAGCACCCTGATCCCCTGCCTTCCTCTGTGCCCTCCCCACTGACGGAAGGGACCATGACCCCCCCTCCTTTCCCCTCTCCCTTTGAGCTGGCTGAGGAGAATGGCCCCCCACTTCTGCCACCTGGTTCTCCCCCACCGCTGGGCGCTCTGAAGCAGGGCAGCGGCAGCCCCCTTCATCCCCAGGGCATAGCCCGGTTAGACTCAGGCTCTAGCCCTGAGGCTGCAGGCATCCCTGCCAGCCCCTCACCTCCCCAGGTTGCTGGGATGCCCTTCTTCAAGCAATCTCCAGGGCATCAGAGCCCTCTTGCCTCCCCCAAAGTGCCCAGCTGTCAGCCCCTAAAGGAGGAAGAAGAGGATCAGGGGCCAGTGGACAAGTCTCCCCCAGCAAGTCCCCAGAGCCCTTCTAGTGGAGCTGAGGCTGCTGACGAGGACAGCAATGACTCCCCTGCCTCCTCCAACTCTTCCAGGCCCCTCAAGGTGCGGATCAAGACCATTAAGACATCCTGTGGGAATATCACAAGGACTGTAACCCGGGTCCCTTCAGACCCTGGTCCCCCTGCCCCCTTGGCCGAGGGGACCTTTCTAGCCGAGGCTAACCTCCTAAAGCTGTCCTCTGCGGTTCTGACTCCTGAGAGTCCGAAAGTGGTGAACGTGCATTTGGGTGACGGCACGAGGCTGAAGGGCACGGTGCTGCCTGTGGCCACCTTCCAGAACGCAAGCACTGCCATGCTGATGGCGGCCAGCGTGGCCCGCAAAGCGGTGGTTCTGCCTGGGGGCACTGCCACCAGTCCTAAGACAATTGCTAAGAATGTGCTGGGACTGGTGCCCCAAGCCCTGCCCAAGGTCGAGGGGCGGATAGGGCTGGGGATAGGGGGACAGAAGGTGAACGGTGCCTCGGTGGTGATAGTGCAGCCTTCCAAGCCGACCACCGTGCCAGGTGCCGGGGGCGGCACAGTGATCTCACGGACCCAGTCCAGCCTGGTGGAGGCCTTCAACAAGATCCTCAACGGCAAGAACCTGCTGCCTGCCTACCGGCCGAACCTGAGTCCACCTGCCGAGGCCGGGCTGGCCCTGCCTCCAACGGGCTACCGCTGCCTCGAGTGTGGCGATGCCTTCTCGCTGGAGAAGAGCCTGGCGTGGCACTATGACCGCCGGAGCATGCGCATCGAGGTCACCTGCAACCACTGTGCCCGCCGCCTGGTCTTCTTCAACAAGTGCAGCCTGCTGCTGCACGCCCGGGAGCACAAGGACAAGGGGCTTGTCATGCAGTGCTCACACCTGGTCATGAGGCCTGTAGCCCTGGACCAGATGGTGGGGCAGCCGGACATCACGCCCCTGCTGGCTGTCCCATCTGCCCTCGGACCTCCAGTCTTATCTGCCTTGGGCAAGGGTGATGGGGCCATCGCCACCTTCGCCATTTCTACAGTTGCTGCTGAGGCCCCTGTGCTGCCGCTCTCGGCTGAGCCACCTGCTGCCCCTGCCACCTCTGCTTACACGTGCTTTCGCTGCCTGGAGTGCAAGGAGCAGTGCCGGGACAAGGCTGGCATGGCTGCCCACTTCCAGCAGCTTGGGCCCCCTGCCCCTGGGGCCACCAGCAATGTGAGTTGCCTTTCACTGCCCTTCCTGGGAAAGGGGACAGCCAGGGGATAGCACGTGGGAAGGTGCGAGGGGCTTGGTTAGGAGAAGGAATGGGGGACAAGCCTCTCCTCCCGGACTTACCTTGTTTCACCCTTTTGACAGGTGTGCCCAACCTGCCCCATGATGCTCCCCAATCGCTGCAGCTTCAGTGCCCACCAGCGCATGCATAAGAATCGACCTCCCCACGTCTGCCCTGAGTGTGGGGGCAACTTCCTGCAGGCGAATTTTCAGACCCATCTCCGGGAGGCCTGTCTGCACTTCTCTCGCCGTGTAGGATACAGGTGCCTCTCCTTCCCATAGTATCTCCACACTCCCTCATGCCCTTGCAGGTCTCATGGTTCCTAGCACCAACCTTTCAGATGGCCTCGAGAGAGCCCCATCTTTCCTGCTCAGTCCCGTGGCCCTGGTGTCCTGGCAAACACAGAGCAGCGCCCCCTCTGCAGCTCCAGCTCTGCCTCAATGGGCCTCCCAGGGGATTGTCTCTGCAGCTCCCTCCTGCCCCCACCTGGCTCAGGCTTCACCACCGATTAGCTTCTCAAAGTCCACCCAGTCCTTGAGGATGAGCGTGGGGTGGGGAGGGCATGGAGATGGCCCATCTCACCAGCACGCCTCCCATGTGCTCCCTAAAGGTGCCCCAGCTGTGCAGTGGTGTTTGGGGGTGTGAACTCCATCAAGTCCCACATCCAGACGTCACACTGCGAGGTTTTCCACAAGTGCCCCATCTGCCCCATGGCCTTCAAGTCTGCACCCAGCGCCAACGCCCACCTCTACACCCAGCATCCCAGCTTCCCCACGCAGCAGGCCAAGTGAGCCCGGGGATGGGGTGCCGAGGGCTGGGCCAGGGCGGGTGGGGCCCTGAAGGGGCAGGTGTCTGCACTGTCCTCTCCACCTGCACAGGATGATCTACAAGTGCGCCATGTGTGACACGGTCTTCACTCACAAGCCCCTCCTCTCCTCACACTTCGACCAGCACTTGCTGCCCCAGCGCGTCAGTGTCTTCAAGTGCCCGTCTTGTCCTCTGCTTTTTGCCCAAAAAAGGACCATGCTGGACCATCTCAAGGTAAAGGAGTCAAGGGCTGGAGTGGGGTTGCTCGGCTGTGTTGACCTGGTGCAAGGGTCACATAACCTTCAGGAAGAGGGGGAGGGGAAAACAAGGACTGTGGCAAAGCCACGCTCTCCCCACAGCCACCATCCCCCTTGTCTCCCTCTCACAGAACACCCATCAGTCTGGTCGCTCGGGAGAGGAGACTGCTGGGAAAGGGGCCGGGGATACTCTTCTGACCCCTAAAGCTGAGCCTGAGGAGCTGGCTGTGTCTCCGGGAGGAGCAGCTCCCCCTATAGAGGAGCTGTCTTCCTCTACAGAAGAGGACCCACCCAGCTCCCCAGAGCCTCCTTGTCCACCCAAACGGCCCCGGCGGGATCTAGGGAACAAAGGCACCAAGGGTGGGGGCGGGGGCCCTGGAGGCTGGACCTGTGGCCTTTGTCACTCCTGGTTCCCGGAGCGGGATGAGTATGTGGCTCACATGAAGAAGGAGCATGGCAAGGTGAGCAAGATGGGCTGGAGGGGCAGCCTCGGGGTTGTCGTGTGGCAGTGGGGCTCGGTCCTGCAAGCCTGGCTCTGAGGTTCCTCTCCCTGCTCTCCTAGTCAGTGAAAAAGTTTCCCTGTCGCCTATGTGAGCGATCCTTCTGTTCTGCGCCCAGCCTGAGGCGCCACGTCAGGGTCAATCATGAGGGTATCAAGCGAGTTTACCCATGCAGGTAACCCTTTTCTTCTTACCCCTTCCTGATTCTGCCCATCAGGTGACCCCTCCCATTCCCTGCCCCTTCCCGGTCCCCCAAAGCATTTTCCCAGCTGCCTCTGTGCACGTGACTAAGGGTTGAAGCTCTGTAGTCCTCCTCTCGAGCCACTGGCCTTAGTCTTTGGGCTGTGCCCTTGGCACCCACCTGCGCACTCTCCCCTCTAGGTATTGCACGGAAGGAAAACGCACCTTCAGCAGCCGCCTCATCCTGGAGAAACACGTCCAGGTGCGGCACGGCTTGCCGCTCGGCGACCAGTCTCCTGGCCGGGGGAGTGTTGTGGTTCGGGGCGCCGGTGCCAGAGCCCAGGTAAGCCCCCCTGCTGGGTTAGAGGTGTGGGAACTGCAGAGTTATAGACTGGCCTCCGCAAGCTAGGTGGGGGTGCCAGGGTCACTGGGGTGATGGGGAGGCCCAGTTCTTCACTATCTTCTCCAGGGGCCAGGACGGAAGCGTCGGCAGTCCTCTGACTCTTGCAGTGAGGAGCCTGACAGCACCACACCTCCAGCCAAGTCCCCCAGGGGTGGACCCGGGTCGGGAGGCCCCCTGCGCTACCGGAGCGGGGGCTCAGTGGAGCAGAGCCTCATGGTGGGGCTGAGGGTGGATGGTGGGACCCAGCAGTGCCTCGACTGTGGCTTATGCTTTGCCTCCCCTGGCTCCCTGAGCCGGCACCGCTTCATCAGCCACAAGAAGAAACGGGGTGTGGGTAGTGCCAGTGCCCTGGGTGTGGGGGATGGGGAGGAAGAGGCGCCCCCTCAGTTGAGGTCTGATCCAGAGGGTGCAGATTCACCCTTGCCTGCTTCTGCAGGTCCACTGACCTGTAAAGTCTGTGGCAAGAATTGTGACAGCCCTCTCAACCTCAAGACCCATTTCCGCACTCACGGCATGGCGTTCATCAGGGCTCGGCAAGGAGTCAGTGGGGACAACTAGCCCCAGACCTGGACTGACTGGCCTCCTCCCTCTTCCCTGGGAGCCTGGGTCACTGCTGCTGCCTGGTCCTCAGGCTGGGGAGTTTCATATAATTCACATTTTGTTTAACTCCTCCCCCCTGGCCCCCGAGACAACAGACTTGAGCATTATAGTTACTTGCAGTCCCCACTGTGGGTTTGGCCCTTGGATCCTAGAAGAGGGGGCCCTCCATTCTTCCTTTCTTAGCCCAACACTAATTATGCTCCTGCTGCAGCCCACGTGGGACCAGGAGGACGGGACTTCTAGGCCTGCTAGACAGGTCCAAGAAGAGACCAGTGTCCGCAGTCACACTCCACAGCCCCTGCAGGCGGACTTCAGGCCTGGCCCTGCCCTAGCACCACCCCTTACATTCCCTGGCACTCAAGCCCCCCACCCCTACAGTGCCTTTCACTTGTTTTTCCCCCCACCCCCAGAAATCCAGGGGGGTTGGTAGGGATGAGTCCTGTCAAGGGGGCCCAGGGAGAGTTGGGGACAGGCTCTCAGGAATCCTTTATTCTTGTAGTAATAATACTAACAGTGGGGGAAATGGGAAGGAGAAACCCAGACCATTAAAACTGCTTGTGGTTTAATCCCCATTCAGGCTCTTTTTGATGTGACTTGGACAATGTAGACTTACTTGATGGAGGGGGGTGAGAGTCAAATCTAGGGAGGCCTTTCTCTGGGAAAAAGTGGTACTGACGGAGACAGGTAGGGAAAAAGCAGTCTTCCTCCACCTTGTTCTGTGTGGTACATCTATTCACTTACATTCACCCCCACCCCCCCAAAAAAATACAACTCAGAAATGACACATGGCTAACTAAGGACTTTATTTCAAACAAAAATTAAAAAATTGAGAGCTATTTCCCTGGATGTGGGAAGGGATCAGGGCAAGGAATTCCCTGTGGCTAGGCCAGTTCCCTCTGTAGGGGAGGGGTTGTGATAACCCTCCTGGTCTCTGTGATGGGGACTCAGCAAGGGCAGGACCCTGTGCCAGAGCCCACCTGCCAAGGGGACCTCAGGCTAGGAGTCAGTCCTGGGAGGAACAGTCAGGCAGCAGCATGGCCAAAGGCGAACCACAGGATCAAATTGTAAGTACCAAGAACCCACTCTTCCCCTTCCTGGGACCTAGAACAGATTAAGAAGATGGCCTGTGGGAAGAACCTCTTGGACCCTGGCGAGAAGAAAGGCCCAGTGCCCTCACATTTGTCACCTCTCTCCTCTGGGGGGCAGTGAGTCCTGGGGTCCCTCAGGTGGTAATACTGACACCGCAGGGGGCAGGGAAGCCCCAGCAAGCCTGGACCCCACAGCTGGCTCTCCCCTGACAAGCTCTCCAGTCACCACATGATCCTTTGTATTTCTTGCCTTCCATTTCCCGTGGGTGGGTGGGTGTTTCCTGGTTTGGGGTTTCTCCCAGGGAGGGTCCCCTGAATGCCCCACCGCGCTGGGGCCTGAGAGGGTGTCACATGATGCCGTTGGTGAGGTACTGGAAGCCATCGTAGAGCTTGGTGGTGATGGACCGCATGCTGCCGTCCACCATCTGCTCCACCAGCAGCTGCAGTTGCTCCTCGGTCATGCTCATGTGGAACCTCTCCTTGAGGTTGCGGATGGTGCTGGAGCCGTGGAAGCAAGGGAGCTGAGAACCTGGGGGCAGGAAGGGCAGGGTCATGGGCGGAAAGGAGGGAGGGCCAGTGGTAACAGCCACAGCAAGGCCTTAGAGACCCCTGAGCATGTGGATGCAGTTCTGCTTGCACCCATCCTCATGCCGTACTCCAACACCCTCTATAGGTGAGGGCATGAGGGCAGAGGAGGGCAGGGGCCAACACCACCTCTCCCCCAGAAATAGCTGAGTGGGCAGAGTCTTAGGACCCAGAGGAAGGCTGGGAATGGGCCCTGAGCTGGGCACTTATCTGGTTTGCAGGGCTCTGCCTATGCTACGTCTGACACTCACAGATGACCTGGGCCACCGTCGTCATGGGGCCAGACAGGGGTGCTCCTGAGCAACGGCGACAACCTGTGGGGTGAGGGTGGGGTGGGGAGGAGGAGGAGACTGGCTGCTCAGAATGGGTGTATACTGCACCCCTAAGGAGTGGGGTTAGGACAAGGGCCCAGAAGGCTGGGAGTAAAGGGACAAAAGACTAGATGACGCAGTGAGGATAGGACAGTGCGAATGGATAGGTGACAGGTGAGGAACTACTCATCTCAGAGCAGGAGGGATGAGTATCGGGACAAAGACGGGGCCTGAGGACAGGGCAATTGGAGGTCAAAGCCCAGCGGGGAGGAAAGTGGTGACTGGAAACACCTGAGCTGGTGAAGAGCTGAGTGGTGGGAGGGACCAAGAGGCTGGAGATGAGACTCCTCTCTGAGGAGGTAGTTTCTGGGGCCTCCACCCGTCCATCCCCAGGACCTAGCTCTGTCAGGAGGCATGTCCCAAAGGAGAAACGGCACTGGGTCAGAGCTGGGAACCTCTGCCTGCCTGGTGTCTTGAGGTAGAACGTACTTCCTAGAAATTCCATGCTGGGCACAGCCCTGTCCCCACACCTGCCTCGCCCCAGCCCCACCTTGCTGCATGATCTCCACGATCTGCACCACCTTGTCCATGTGTTTCCGAGCAGCAATCAGCCCCTGTAGCATCAGCATCTTGTAGTAGTTGAACATGTCACCATCCAGGCCGCCCATGACCTGTGAGGGGAGGAGAAAGTTGTAGGTATAAGGGCTCAGCGTACCCCCAGCCAGAACTCCCTCCATTAGGGCAAACATGCCAAACCCCACTACTTCCCAACTCTCTCAGCAGGCAGGAAGCCTCCCAGGACACCAGCCTCACCCTGACTTACTGCCATTTCTGTTCTGTTTGTCCGTAATTTGGGGGGAGCCCACTCCCATGACAGAGAAAGAACACAGTGAGGCACCTCTCCTTCCTGACTCACGTCCACAAACTCTGTGGTCAGCTTAAAGGCTGACGTCTCAAAGCCCAGGTTTCGGGGAGAGCTGGACAGGATGAAACCGAAGTCAATGTGGATGATGTGGCCCTCTGCGTCCAAAAGGATGTTCCCATTGTGTCTGAGGGGGGCAAAGGAGAGGAAGAGGCAGTATAAGTCAGTGTGAGGTGGCAGCCTCAAGCTGAAACACTGGCCACATGACACCAGGCGGGGAAGTCCCCTGCCATGTTTCCTGCTGCCTATAACTCAGTCCAACCTGCGGCCTAAAGCAGCAACAGAAACGGGAAATCGGGCACGTAAGCTGCTAACAGTCTGAAATCGCTTTTACTGACAACTTAATAGTTTAAGATTGTAATTCTATCACCCAAACTGATCCCAACCTAGTAGAAAACCCAGAAGCAAGGGAAGAAAGCCTCTGAGGCTCCCACCAGCTGTCACAGAGGCCAAGCAGTTGGCTCAGGGGCCTCAATCAGAACCGTTTTACCTGTGAGCCCCACCAGAAGGGAGTGGCAGGCTGGGAAGAGTTTAAATGTAAAATAATGTGGGGGCTTCAAGGGCGAGTTCTAACTACCTGATAAGTCACCCCAGTAAGAAATGATGAGCCAGCTGCAGGAAGAAGAGAGTAAAGATGAGTCCAGGTCCGTGACCCCGACATGAATAACGAGCAGGAGGAGGAACAATGAACATGCTAAGCATGTGAGGCCTGGCCCATTCAGGATAACCAGCCTCAGTGTCAACAGTGGCTTTGTTAGGCTGAGCTCCAGGTCTGAGGCCACCTTCTCCAGGGTTGGTCTGAGTGGCCAAAAAGGAGGGACAGAAAGAGAGCCAGTCCCACCTGAGTCCTTTATACTCTGGGAAGCACTACAAATTTAGCCATAAAGGCACACTCTCATTTTACAGGTGAGGAAACACCTTGAGAGAAGGTCCCGAGCATGAGGGGCTCTCTGACAGCGGGAGATGGCTGGGCCCTCATTCTGAAGCAGTTAAAGATCCTAACCCGCTTCCACTGCGGAGCCTTGGGCAGTGTTGCCAGTTCCTCCCACTGGCTGATTCCATTCAGGGCTTGACTACATCTATTCTTTTTTGAGTTACTATTAAACGTTTCTCAGCTGCCTGTTCCCCTCTCCCCCTTTTTTAAAGGATGAACTCTGACCTTCCAAATATCTTCCTGAAGGAAAGCCACAGGCCTGACCAGCACCTGCTTCCCTGCCCCCATTTACTCAAACCTGCGGCTCAGTTCTAGGCTGTGCCCTCGATTCAAAACCCTGACTCTTAGGGACAGTCTAAAGTTACTAATGTTGTGGCCCCACCCCATAACAAAGAAACAGAATTTCCGGAGGATGAGGCCCAGAAATCAGGATTTTAAAAAGATTCCCAGGTGATTCTAATGTGCAGCTAAGATTGAGAACCACTGGTCTAAAGCTCGTAAACAAATTCCTTATAAACAATTACATGTTCCTTCAGCCCTCAAATGTAAAGCCTCCACGGGACTCATTTGTAGGGCTGACCAGATGGAGTGAGCGCAGGTTCTGAAAGCTCTGACCGCCAGTCCCCTCATAGGAAACACCTGTCTGACTGTTTTCAGCTGGTTTCAATAAAGCACGTCAGGCTGCAGCATGCACTTACTAGTAATAGATGCTAGCTTTCTGACAAGCTGCTCTGCTGGCTAGATCCTAAAGTGCTACCATGTCCGGGAGCTCTGAAAGCTCAGGCCACTGTATTTCTGCCTTCCTAGGGCAGCTGCCCATGCCTGTGAGGTGCAACTCACAGGAGCATTCAGGATGCAGACCCTGAGTCACGTCTGGGTGGAATTATTTTTGTACGCTGTGTTGTTCACCTATGTGGGAAGCTGGGCCTCAGAACGGTCATGTGATACTGGAAATGGCAGCTCTGGGGAAAGCAATAAATACTTCAACGTTTTGAAAATTGTATGTTGGAATAAAAGGAGATTTCAGGGTTGGGAGTTTCAACTCTATCTCCACCATGCCTCTCATATCTATCTTCTCCTTTCTGCTCTCAGTCACTACCACCTCCCTCGGGTCAGGACTCATTACCTCCTGCTTTGTTGCTTAAAGGCCTAACTAGACCCAACCTCACTCAGTACCACAGGGTGCACTCAGTAAACAAAGACGGGGTCATGTCATTCCTCACCTGCCAAGTACAGTCCCTCAGCCTCACTGTGCAGGTGCTTCTAGTCTGGCCTCTGCTCACCTGTCTGACATCCCTGCTATTCTGCCAGGCCGCAAAGCCCAAACTTTTATTAAAATTTGTAATTTTTGTTATTTATTGATTCTAGAGAGAGAAGAGGGAGAGAAAGGGGGTCGGGGGAGAGAGGATTCATTGGTTGATTCTTGTATGTGGTCTGACTGGGGATCGAACCCACAACCTTGGAGTATTGGGACAACACTCTAACCAGCTGAGCTCCCCGGTCAGAGCCAGGAGCCCAGGTGTTACTCACACTGACTTATTCCTCTGGACTCTGTGTCCTTCCCCCACAGCTTCCTCTGCCCTCGTTCTCCTGCATCCTTTTAAGAGCCTGCTCATTCAAACCCTTGCTTCTCCCCATAAATCCTTCATATCTCGCTCCTTTACCCTAGTACTTGTCAGTCTGTCTCTTTGGCTTAATGGCACGTGAACATGTCTATCTCTGCTTAAAACATGTTGTTTGTCTCATCTTTTACGTCTTGGCAGTGGAAGGTCGTGGTGAGTATACGAAAACTACACGTGAAAGGACAGAGATAACCCTGGAAAAAAGGTTAGGATGAGGGTCAGGAATTTACCTACCTGTCCTTGACTTGCAGCAGGTAGCAGACCAAGCAGTAGCCAGCGCAACTTTGCACGAAATTGCGCTGGGCACTGAGGAATGCCTCAGTGGTGTAACTGCCATGCTCCTGAAGGAAGTAATCGAGCAAGGAGAGCTGTGACTGTTTCTTCACCTGGTGGATGGACACAGCGTTGACCACGGGTTCAATCATGCCACTGTCAGCCGAAATCACAAGAATCTTGTATGGCTTGATCCACAGCGGCACTCGCTCCTGTTCCCAAATGGACTGTGAGGAGACACGGGACCATCATCTTTCATTCAAGTTGGGGGAGGGGCGAAAAGCCCTCTATCCCTAACCTTGGAAGTTCCCAGCCCTGGTGGCCTTGGATTCTAGTCCATCAAGTGAGTAAAACCCACTGAGGACCAGGGAGTTTTTAAAGAAAATCCAGGTTCTGACAAGACACAGGGAGGTATATGGGGAAAGGCATCTCATAGGTAGATAGTCCCCAGAAGGCAGAACAGGAAACCACCCAAGCAGCGAGAGTGGGAGCTATTAATTCAAATTCAAGGAACAGGGAAAAGGATTTAGGTCCACAGAAAGCTCGAGAAAATGAAAATATTTGTATAAAGAACTGGATTAAACAGGTGAAGCTGCTGGCAGATGACCAACCCAGAGGCTCAGGGGACTGATATCTCAGCACACTGCAACCCATTTCCGAAGACCAGATGGGAGTTTTTATTTACTCATTTTATTGAATTTATTGGTTAATAAAATTATATAGGTTTTCTTTAAAAACTCCCTCATCCTCAGTGGGTTTTACTCACTTGATGGACTGAAAGGCCACCAAGTCTGGGACAATGGTTTATAAAATTACATAGATTTCAGGTGTAATTCCGTAATATATCAACTGTATATTGTACTGTGTGTTCACACCCAAAGTCAAGTCTCCTTCCATCATAATTTATCCCCCTGTAACCTCTTCTACCTCTGCCCATCCCTCTTTCTCTCTGGCAATCACCATACTGCTGCTGCCTGTGGCTATGAGTTTTTCACTTGGGAGTTTCTGACTCAAGGACAAAGCCAGCACCCTGAAGTTTGGGAATCAGAACGGGTGCAAATCACAAAAGGGCCACAAGAGGTTGCTGTGGAGCTGTGTTCTGTGGCTATACTTGCAGGGGGAGTACAATAGGGAAGAAAGCACCAGCTTTAGTTTAATCTACATCCAGTTTAGACCTGAGCAGGAAGCTGTCCTCAGCAGAGTTCCTTTGAACAGCCTGTGTGGTCCCCTCAGGTGGGCTGCAGTGAGCTGACTCCCCTTCCTTATCCCTGTCTTACCTGCAGCTGTTTCAGCACCTGGAAGGCCAGCAGCTCCTGCCGAAGATCATCCCCGCACTTGACAATGACTGACAGGAGCCGCCAATTGGGGAGATGGCCATAGGGAGAGCCCTCTCTGATCCGCCTGCATAAAGAGAAGCAAAATGTGTCAAGAGGTGATGACAGAGACACAGCTTCTACCAAAAATCCAAATCCAACTCCCCATAAGGCAAGGACTGGGGCTGCCTGGGGGCATGATGGATTTGGGGGGAGCCCAGTGGACACTGGATGGTGCAGTGAGTTCCTGCAGTTGTCTCCAAGCTTTGAGACGTCTAGAGACAGCTGCCTCCCACCCAACTCACCGCACTTTCTCCTGCCAGGGCTCTTTGAGAGCAACTGCAGAAGGGTCTTCTGGGTCTCGTTTGAAGGCTGTGGGGGTGTGAGCCAGCTGCTCCGAAAGGCGCCGTCTAGCAGGAAGAAATGGTATCATTTGCTTGGAGGAGTTACCCCAGAGCCTCATGTCCCTGTCTGTGGCAGCACTGCCTGCACTATTTCCTTGATTCTAGGCACAGAGAGAAACCTGGGTTGAGAGACTCGTGGAGGACACAGGCCACTGATACCTTTTTGCTAACCTGATGGTATGGAATCATGATAATCACCAGGCCCTCCCATTCCTCTACCAAGATTCTGGTTCAAAACAGCTGTGGCTCCAGCATCTGCATTTTCAACAAGATCTCTCCGATTCTGACATGTGAATCCTTGGACCCACTCTGAGAAACGCTGCTTTAATTCCTCCCTCTGCTGCTTTCATCCCTTTGGAGACCTTTTAACATTTAATTTCTTTCTGTAGTAGCCTAGTAATTTCTCCACCTGCCCCTTCACTGCCTCAAGTTTGGTGGCCTCAGAACAAGGACAGAGTAAAGAGAGAGGAAAGGGAAAGACACAGGCTGACAGAAGAGGAGAAAGAGACAGGCAGAGCCTTAAAGAGGGATGAAAAATGAGAGGCAGTGTGGTCTGGCCATACCGGATGTCCCCTGCTGCAATGAACACAGGCTCCTTGCTCTCCTGGCTGGTGATGCTGTCCACAGAGAACTGGGAGATGTTGTCACAGCTGTTGGTGTGCACTTCAGGGAGCTGGGGAGAGCAGGGAATGGTAGGTCAGAAGCGCTAGGCACAGGTCTCGCTTCTTTCACCTCCTCCACAGATCACCTGGAGTGTTTTCTATTTGCAGATTATGATCATTCCCCTCTTCCTAAGTCTGCTCCAAAAACCCTCCCCTGGTTACATATCATCCTGATCACTTGGACCCCAAACTGCCGAGGCACTCACATAGGCCCTTCAGTGGTGTTTCTCAAACATCTGAATGCTACTAAAACCATATTCCCATATGGAACCATCAATCTGGATTAAAATTACTGGGAATGGATCTGGAAATCTGAATTTATTTATTTATTTATTTATTTATTTATTTATTTATTTTTAAAATATATTTTTATTGATATCAGAGAGGAAGGGAGAGGAAGAGAGAGATAGAAACATCAATGATGAGAGAGAACCATTGACTGGCTGCCTCCTGCATGCCCCACACTGGGGATCAAGCCTGCAACCCAGGCATGTGCCCCCAACCGGACTCGAACCCGGAACCCTTCAGTCCACCGGCTGACGCTCCATCCACTGAGCCAAACCGACCACGGCTGAATTTTTTTTTTTTTTTTTTTTAATCCTCACTCAAGGACCTGCTTAGAGAGAGGAAGGAAGAGAGAGAGAGGGACAGGGAGAGAAAGAGAGTAGCATTGATGTGAGAGAGAAACATCGATTCCATTTGTGTTCTGATTAGGGATTGAACCCGCAACCCAGGTGTGTGCCCTGACTGGAAATAGAACCTGCAACCTTTTTTGTATACAGGATAATGCTCCAGCCAACTGAGCCATTCCAGCCAGGCTGGAAGTCTGGATTTTTAACAAATTCTGTAGAAGACTCCCAGCACAATCAAGTTTGCAGACCACTGCTGTGACCAACACAGAAGGCAGAACTTTTTTTTTTAAATTGATTTCAGAGAGAGGAAGGGAGAGGTAGAGGGATAGAAACATCAGTGATGAGAGAGAATCATCAATCAGCTGCCTCCTGCACGCCCCTATTGGGGATCAAGCCCACAACCCTACCCCTACTAGGAATTAATCTGTGACCTCCTAATTCATGGGCTGATGCTCAACTGCTAAGTCACACCGGCCAGGCAGAACTTTCAGTCTTATACTGAGAGCTCCCAAGGCCAGGGATGCATTTACTATTCTCCCTTAAGGTCCAGAACAGACTCTCTCCAGACTAGGGTCCAAGACCATTTCTTCAATCTAATCTCCCCTTCTCCCTCTAACTATCAAGTCCCTTCCTTTCTTTTGTACCAGAGCATTTCTCCTCAACTACATTCATCACTTATTGTACACTGCCTTGTTATCTTAAATGCCTGTGTCCAATCTCCTTAACTGGACTGTAAGCTCAAGGACAGCCTGTCTTTCCCCAAAGTTGTGTCACAAACCTACATAAAATCCTTCCCTGGCTCCGTACAACCCAGAATAAAGTTTAAGTTTCTTCCCACAGCTTCCAGGATCCTGCCTCCAATCTGGCCCATGCTGACCTCTCTAGCCTCATCTGTCACCACTTCACACATCACACAAAATTTCTTCCAGGTCCTAAGACGAGCCAAACTCTCTCGTCTTCCAGTCATTGCATGCACATGTACCTCCCTCTGCCTGAATAGGTAATTCAAACCCATCTTTAGGCCTCAACTGAGATATTACTTCCTTGAGGAAATCTTTTGGGGTGTGTCCAACCCCAAGTATGGACTAAGTGCTACCCCCACCATCAAGTGCTCTCATAATTCCCATCCTCTCCAGCATAACCTGGGTCACACCACACTACTGGCCAGTCTTCTACTCTCTCCAGTTAGGTCAGAAGCTCCTTGCAGGCAGTCTTGTTCACTAGCACACGGCACTCAGGGCTGGCACTAAGAAGGCCCTCCATAAACAGTTCTTCAGTGAATGAACGAATGTATAATTTACCATTCTCTGCTTTTCTAAAACAAGTTTATATAGCAGGTGTTCAATAAATATTTTGATTAAATTTCTTTCTCTTTCCTCAGCTTAGAAGTTCCTCCTTACATTTAACCTATATGCCTGCTGGAAAATGAGCTCTACCTGAATCTGCTCCAGACTAGAGCTGTTCAGAGCTTTCCCCTTTCATACCCAACACTACCTGCCCCTCTCATTTGTGCGCTTGCCTCAGTCTGCCTCAGGGTGTTGTCTCAAATACACCAGAAGCTCCTGGAGAATAGGTGTTGTGCCCCAGTATTACCTCTGTGAGTTCCCTCACCTCCACCTGCAGCTCGCCTATGTCGTCCACGGACCAGGCCTCATCATCGTTGTCATAGTTGGGCACAGTACTAAAGCTGCCTGCCCGCTGCTCATGGGTGATACCGCATTCGGGCAGGTTCTCTACGGACCGTGTGCTCCGGATTCGGTTCTCAGGGATCCGGGCGGGGACATTGGTGGTGTCAAAGTTTTCACATTCAAGGACTTCCACATAGATCAGGTAGGGAGCCTGGGAGAAAGTGAGGACAGTATTTGCAATTCACCTGCACCACTGTCCCCCAAATCGCAACTCTGTTAACAGTTCTTCCTGCTGCCCGCTCCTACCTTCAACCCGCAATCATCAGTCCTCTGACACTGTGAATACCATATTGGGGAGGAACTTGTCCTATGAACACCTATATAAAGAATTTGGGTGAGAGAGTGCACCCAAGTCTTCAAATGGTTCAGCTGAGTTTCAAAATGTGTAGATGATGCAGTTGGGCAAACCATTCCAAACTATCAATTACAACCCATCAGAGAGGCGTGGAAGCCTCTCGGGGCTTGTCCTAAAGACACAAAGACCGTGAAAGAGCGGGACAGTGTGTCAAGCAGGGCTCTATCTTCACTACTTCTAAAAGAAAAACCTGAACCTTTAATACTATTCCAACCAGCAGATAAACTTAGCTAATTCTCTCCAATGTAAATAAGGCATAATCTCTCCTCCTCCTTGCCCCCTCTGTTCAGAAAACGTCTTAGAAACAAAATATTTCTCTAATGTTGCTATATCTGGAAAGCCAACGAGTTACAGAGGGCTACAGAGAGGTGGAGAGTGACTCTCCTGAGACATGGCAAGAAGTGAGCTGGAGAGACCAGGCCTCTGTGTTCCAGAGAAACAAGGCCCAAGCAGGGAACAAGAGGGCCTCAGAATCACAACCACGAGTAAAGTTAAGGTGGACACATGCACACGAACCAGGAAGGAGTCTGGGATGCTGGTCGGGCGTCTCTAGGCATAGACACAAACCCTGAACAACCATGAAGTGGAGCCCACCTACCTTGTCCTTGGAGTTGAGGACAACAGCCTGGGTGTGGGGCACGCGGACCACGTGGTGGTCAAAGCCAGCAGTGGGCAGCCAGACTCGGGCAGGGAGCTTATGGTTAAGCAGGGAGAGCTCTGAGATCAGCCGCTGTGTTTTCTGCTCCTTAGTGGGGAGCGTGGCCAACCGCTTGCCGATCGCCATCAAGGACTTGATGAATTCTCGCTCAGGAGCTAGTCTGACAGGCTATAGAGGGATGGGGTGAAGTAAAAGACGGTAAAGAAACCATAGCGAAAAGTGGCCCTCCCACTCAGTCAATCCTGGCCGTTCAGGCCAGGGATCTGTCTGGAGAACCCCAGGGAAGGAGCTACCTCTCAGCCTAGTAGATTCCACCCTCCCCTGGCAAACTGAGTTGAGAACAGGTAAAAGAGCCAGCACATTCCTTCCCACAAGCTGTTTACTGAGGGTAAAGGAGTGTGAATCCGGTCTCTGGGACGCACTCCTCCCTGGACCCGAGTTCCTCAGGAACTGTCCCAAGGCTTCAAGATGGGTGGGGGTTACGGGACTCCAGAGCGAAGAGCTGCTTATACCTCAAGTGCTTCACCCACCTTGAGAATGAGGGTGTCCCTCTCCCCACCTGGATCCCTGGCAGAGCCCCAGCCCACAAGGCTAGGGAGGGGAGCTCCAAGTCAATAGCTCCCTTTTCAAAGGAGGACTCACTCCATTCAAATGACTTCTGTTGCTTTACATGGCATCCCCGCCCACCCCACGATTTCTTACAGGAGGTCAATGCGCATGCAGGGGATGAGAAGAGGATGAGCAGATTTGGGATTAGGGGATGATCAATGTGGAAAGAAAAAGCAGATGGAGGGAGACTGGTGTGGGCAGGAAGGTGGGGAAAGCAATAGCTCCCTTCACTCCTCAACAATGGCCCTGAAGGCCTGTCTCTTTTCTGTGATTCCTCCTTGGGTCCTCTTCCCCTCCTTCCCAGGACGAGGGTCCCCAGATTTGCTCCCTGTTGTGAGCTTGGCTCCGCATGCGGGCACTTCAGTCATCCCCAGAAAGGGCAGTCAGTCTGGGGGGTGAGGTGGGGTGGACTAAGCTAGACATGAAGAGGGGCTCTTTTCCCTAAGTCCTCCTACCGTAAGGGCATTTTATCAAGTAGCCACCCAGCTCCCAACCTCGTCTCCCCTCAGCTAGATAAGAACAGTATCTCCTCTGTTCACAGAAACAGTATTTCACTCACCAGACTTTTCTCTCCCTCTCTGTGTCTTGCTTAGTTTCCTGATTGAGAATGTCTACCCTCACTCCCTCAAACTGCAAAAAAGAGCTTCTTTTGAAAGCTGAGCAGGACCAGGCCCACCTCTGCACGTGTGCAGAGCCAGGTTCAAAGGAACAGCTCATCTCTCAGCCTCTACCCCGCAAGGGGCTGCCTCTGGCGCCCCCACAATAATGCGACAGGGTGTCTGGATCAGTCACGAATGCTTTGTGAGGCAGGGTTGAAGAGAGATTCAGGAAGACAATAGAACGAGGCTTCTGTGGTCCCTGGAACTATTCCAGGGCCTAACAGAGAAAGAGAAAGAAAGGAAGAAGACTTGATTCTTCATTCATTCTGATCCCCTAGTGACCCATTCAGGTGGCAAATGGTCACTGTTCCAAGGATCCTCCACCCCAACCAATTCATAGTCATTTCAGATTAAAGAGACAGAATTCCTTCCCAGCTTCAAACCAGCATTTGGGTTGGGGGCCCCTACGTCACATAAGCATGTTTGAAATGTGACCCCAGGCCTCCAAATACAGGCTCTGCCACGTGGGAGGAAATAGGAATCATGATTGAAAGGGGATCAGCACAGAACAGAGAAAACTGATTGGGTAGACAAATCAAAAACAAAATGTTAAAAAAAAAATCATCCAAACTCCCATAGGGTCCAGCATTTCCTCTCACGTCTCTGCCCAGGAACAAGGTCCAAGACCCTGTAGGACCAGAAGGTCAGGGGTTATTCCAGAGGCAACAAGGAAGGAGAATAGTGATTAAGGAACATCCTGGGCAGGGAGCTGGGAAAGGGGAGAACTCAGACCTGGAAGAAATGTGGTTGAAGCTAAAAAGAAAAAGACTGAGGAGGTAAAACTTTCCTTCAGACCAAATCCTGTTTGCTTTTGGAATCAGCTCCCCCAGCACAGGGCCTAGCATTTAGAAAACACTGAATAAATATTTGATGGTCTGATGGCAGAAGCCATGGGGAAAGGGTCCTGGGTGGGAGAAATAGGATCCTGGGGGTTTCTGCCAAGCAGTTGTTGGCATCAATCCAGGGGTAAATTCTACCTCTCTCCCAGCTGTTTGATCTAGAGACCCAGGAGCTGGGGGCTAAGTCACACTGCATCCCAGCTGTCCCTGGGAAAAGGATCACTGAGCTCCACTGAGCCTGGGCTCAGGGCACTGGCGACAGGCAGGGAACTCCTCCAGGCCTGGGAGGCCTGGGAAGGAGGAGCTGATCTCCCAGGAAGAAAAGGCACCTTTTCACGCCAGCCTTGGCCTGGGGACTTAGAAGACCTGGGGACGGAGAGGAAATGCGGCCATGGGGGGAGCCTGCCACCCAGTCCCAGCCTGGCCCCACTTACGGAACTGAATGAGTTATCAATACTCTCGGTGCTGGAGGAGAGCTCCTGGGAAAGGGCCGAGGGCAAGGGGAGAAGAAAGGGGCAGGGAGGGAGGGGAGAGAGACAAAGGCAAAGAATTTAGGTCCAACTTGGATCATACCTCTTCTCTTGTGTAGCTCTACCTTTCTGCTTTAATGAAAGAAAGTCAACCCAGAAATGCCGCCTGCCCAGAGTTATGGCACTGTGGGAGATGCTGGAAGGCTAGCTCAGACCTGGGGTCAGAGGGTTGAAGAGACAACGGCCTGTTTTTCATTTTCTTCCCTTCCCTTCTTGCCTGCAGGAACTTTCCTCCCAGGACAAAACCCTAAAGCTGGGACCCTTAGTGAGGTAACCCTGCTCTCAACCAAACCCTTCTCTGTGGAGGCCACACAGAGGGACTGAATTTAACAAGCTGCATGGCCCCTTACTGCCCACACTGGAAATCCTGTGTTCCTCTAGCTTCTTGGAAACATCAAGGAGGAAGCAGAAAAGCTAAACTTTCAGTGCCAGGTGTATCTCCTCTCTAACCAGCCTCAGCATCACCCTAGGAAGCCTCATCCCAACCTTAAATTATGTGACAAGGGGTATCACAGACCCATGAGCATGAAACCTCTGGGCTAGATGCTGCTGGAGTAAAGGATGAATACCATTCCTATCTACCAGACCTCCACAGGCTTGCTATCAGGCTATTTCACGTGACAACCAACTACAATTTGCTGTCGTAAGTTGGGAGCGAGGTCCTGCCTTACTCCATCTGAGAAAGCGGAGCAGCTGAGCAGCAGCTGTCCTGGTCCCAGCCTAGGGTGTTTACCTAAACCTTGCCTGCCTTACTGGGATCCATGAGCAAAACAGGGGAAAGGGCCCAGCTCTCATTCAGTGGCTCTGCTACAGCTCATGCACAGGCCCATCCTGGGTTCTGTGCCACAAGCTCCCCCAAAGCAGGGAGAAGGGGCAATATTTGTGCACAACCTGCAGTTAGGGGAGGGGCCTGGACTTAAGAGACAAAGTCCTGGGAGCTCTCAGGGCAGAAGGGCAGTGGTCACTGAGCTTTTACGCTGCAATTAACATTTCAAGCATCTACTTAATCCAATGCCATGGGATAAGTTCTATTCTGGCTGGGGGTCCTGTAGTCAGGCCGTTCCTTGAAGAATCTGGGGGGAGAGGCCCTGTGAGGGAGAAGCCAAGCCAAACACTCCCAAGGCAGGAGATCTGAGGCAGTGAGGATACCAGTCTATTATGACTTAGTGGTTCAACTTCTACCCATGCACTGGTGGGGGAAGTAATAGCAGGGAGGAGGATACTGGCTCCATGAACAACGATCCAGCTGATTCTCCCACAGACAGGCCCTGTCTGACTCATTAACAGCCTTGGGGGAAGGGAGGTATATCATGATCGACTCCTCTCTCCTACTCTGTACACTTGAGTCACTCATACTGAGTCAGCTCCAAGGAGAAAAGCTGCGTCCAAGAAGCTGATACTGCACCTTATCGGGCTGGAAGGCCCACTGGGTCTTTCAGTGTGACATGCAGCAGATTTCTCTGTACAAAGGTTGCAGTTCTGGAAAGACAAAGCTGATCCACTAGCGAGTCATTATGTGGGGCAGGGTGTGGGGTAGGACGTAACTCGGCCCCTCCCTATGCCAAATGATTTACCAGTTGGTTATAAATGGGAAGGGAACCTGCCTAAGCCCAGTTCCCTGACTAGGCTGATAACAACTGCTTGGAAGAGGTGGGCTTTGGGGATGGGCAAGGGGAGGACGCAGTGCTAGAGTGCCGATTGTCCCTCCTTAAAAGAAAACAGGAGCCTCTGTGAGATCAGTGCAGAAGAGAAGCAGCCTTCTCAGGCCTCACCCTCCAGAGCACCTCTCCTGGTGGCAGGAGCGTAGGGTTAAACTCAGAATCTATGGGGAAAGCAAGGGATGGGAGCAGTCAGGTCTCCTTCTAGCAGCGGTTCTCAACCTGTGGGTCGCGACCCCTGAAAATACCTCCTGCATATCAGATATTTACATTACTATTCATAACAGTAGCAAAATTACAGTTATGAAGTAGTAACGAAAAAATTTTATGGTTTGGAGTCACCACAACATGAGGAACTGTATTAAAGGGTCGCAGCATTAGGAAAGTTGAGAACCACTGTCAGAATCTAGGCAGCGGTTCTCAACCTGTGGGTCGTGACCCCTTTGGCAGTCGAACGACCCTTTCACAGGGGTCGCCTAAGACCATCCTGCATGTCAGATATTTACATTACGATTCATAACAGTAGCAACATTACAGTTATGAAGTAGCAACGAAAATAATTTTATGGCTGGGTCACAACATGAGGAACTGTATTTAAAGGGCCAGAAGGTTGAGAACCGCTGATCTAGAGTCTCTGTTCAGACCTTAGACAGTTATGCACCTGGTGTTAGTAAGCTGTGTACAGCTTCTGTATATGTAGGAAACAACTTTTCAAGAGTCAGAAACTCCACACAAAAAACTGTTCAAACTAATAAATTCAGTAAAGTTTCAGGATACAAAACTAAACAGTGCCCTAGATAATGGGGTCTCCATATTACCGTACAAGTTCCTGGAGAGAAAGACAGCATTTTATCTTCCATCCTCCACTGCCTCCAGCACAGGGCTTTACACAGTGTACAAGCTCAATAACTATTTGTTGAGTGAATAAATGTTGCACGACAGGGGAGAAGGAGAAGCATTGGTATTTGGGGGACAAAGGTCTTGATGACAGATGTATCCTCAAAATGCCAAAGGCATGTGGAGAGACCTCTGTGCTGAAGATTCCAATGCTTAGACTCCTGGTGACATTCATGTTTATTCTCTCTCACTTTCCCTCGCACATCTCCTGAGGAGCTGCAGTGGACTCGGGTGTCTCATTCTGCCAGCATCAGATGACCTGGGAGGCTGGGATGTAGTATCTCCTTCCTTTCCTAGATCTGGTGTTCCACCATAAAGACGCCAGGCTGGGAAGAATGGCAGCTGGAGGGGCCACACTAGAGGACTCAGGCTCTCACAAAAGACCTGATCTCAGTGTGCTGCCCATAATCGCACCTGGGCAGGGGTCAGATGCCAGGAAGAGGGACTAAGGATTAGCACAGAGGAAGAAAAGCCCTGAGGCTTCACCCTTTCTGATGCTAAGACGAGGACACAAAACACACAGAGAAAAGGCAAGCCTGGCAAGAGGCACCTGGGGTTCACTCCCAAGTGCTCACACTCCTACTGCTACAGACTTGACCCCAAGAGGAAAAATCCCAAACCTTTTATGACCCTAGTCTCTCCAGATCTGGAAGATTCTTCTTGCTTTGTAACAGCCCCCTTTGTGGCCTTGGGCTTCCCTGCCAAGTACAACCAGAAATTAAAACGGTCCTTTCTAGTTCTGAGAACAGGTGGGCTCTGCCCATGCATGGATGTGGAAACCTAGATGGCTAAGGCCTCGGCTGTTCTTCCCCAAATGGACTCTGACAGCCGAAAACCCAGGAAAGCAGATGCTGAGAAAGAACCAAGACAGATCAGCTGAATGATTAGGAGTACCAGCTGTGATGTGAGGTCTAGTCTGACAGACACTAGTTGAGAGACCTTGGGCAAATTGTCTAGCCTCTCTAAGCCTGTTGACTCAATGGTAAAAAATAAAAAAAAAATCTGTCTGCTAGGGTGGTTGTGAGGATTTAATGTACAATACTTCACATGATGCACATAGTAAGTGCTCAATAAATGTTAGCTCTTTTAGCCTGTTATTAAATGATAATAAAATACTGAATTTCCAGAGAAAGCAAGCTCTATAGTCTCCTTCCTCTGTGCTTTCCCTTTCCTAGTCACTATGACCTCCTTCTTGCTGAAAGAAGTCCCACTGTATCAAAACTGTGGGTGGGTTATGTGTCCCACAAAGGCAGATGCCAACACCATGGCTATATGCATTTTCCAACAACTGCAAATTCCTCATTCTTTTCTCCCTTCTTTTCTATGCTGGGCTGGTAGCCAGGATGGGAGCTAGGCTGGTGGTGAGTCAGAGGGGGGAACTGGGGCACCATTGTCTGGCTGGGATACCAGGTCACTGACACTTGGTTGTCCACTGGGCAACTTCCCCTGTATCTGTCCAGATGTGGAATGGAAGGTGAGTATAACCTACTGACGGGCTTATCTCTTTCCTGCTCTGTATCCTAAATGGACATCTACAACGACTGCTGTGGCTGTCTTCTTTCTAGACACTGGGTATGTCCGTGATTCACTCTATACCAAGATTGCTTCCTTCTTTCTTTGTGCTTCTCCTAAATGACTTGGGAAAGTTCAACCAACATCCCTTCCCCTAAAAAAAAGGCAGGTGGCAGGCATTCTGCAGATGCCTCAGTGACAGGGAATGAACCTTACCCTTATAAAAACAAAAAGCAGGATCTTCAGGGAGTGGGAGGGAGGGATTATGAAGAGGAGTGGTCAGGAGAATGAGGCTGAGGTTCATACCTCCCCTTCCCCAGCACACACAAAACTCACACATACAGTCCCTTCTCCTCCCCATGGTTGCTGCTCTGAGAGGTTCTGGTAGATATCCCAGGTCTCCAGCAGGGTGGGGAGGGTCTCTGCCACAGTTCTCAGTAGGTAAGGAGTTAATGGAATGGCAGTGCAGTTTAGTAAAAACAACATTGGCAGAGTCAGGTGTACCAGCCTTGCTTTTAGCTCTATGACCTGAGACAGGTCACTTTATCTCTCTGGGTCTCTGAGTTCTTCCTTTGTAAAATGAGGCAGCTGGAATACATGAATTCTAAGGTTTTTTTCCATTCTAACATTCCATGCTTTTATCAGTGAAATGAAACAGATGGAAGGAAAGAAAAGGACAGAGTGACCGTATGTCAGACATCCTGTCTCCATGCCACCTTGCCCCTCTGTCCCTCCCAGGGATTTTACCTCATCCTCATTCTCCACTTTGGGGTTGCTGGCTGTTCGTTTCAGGTTGCTGCTGAGACTTATACTGGCGGTGGCATCTGACTTAGAGCGCTGGTGAGTCCTTTTAGAGGGAGACAGCCCTGTGTCAGGGGCTGGGCTCAAGGAGGGCAGCTCCCTCTTTCGGTGAGCTGGCTTCAGCTCATCTGAGAGGATCAGCTTCCGTAGCTTGGTCCCACGGGAGTGTCGTTGAGTGGAAATGTGCATGTCTGAAGAGTAGGCCCCGAGCAACAGGGCACACTGTAGGGAAAAGTTAATGCTCTGGCGGCATCGGTGGACTATGTAGGGCTTGATGGCGTCACCTACGTCCTCATCCATGTGGATGTACATGTTAAGCAACTGGGGCAGATAGAAGTCCACGTCCTCATTGCGAAAGCAGAAGAGCCGATTGCCGATGTAGGCTTGCACTCCAGGCTCCTTGGAGTTATACAGGTATGAAATGGCCATGGAGATGTCAAATAGTTTTGACTCAAATAGCCTCAGCAGCCAAGACTGTTTGGCTGAGTTGTTCTGCCGCCGCCTTCTTGCTCCCTTGGCTGTGCCCGAGGCCACAGTGACCCCCATCTCATCTTCCTCCTCTCTTATCTGGGCAGGAGGATCGTCCAGGCAGCGGATCTCACTGTCCACACCATCCCCATTGACCACCTCCAGTGGAGTGCCTCTGCTAGAAACGGCCACGCCTCCATGCAAAAGCTTGACCTTCTCTAGCACCTCCTGGCAGGCCTTTTGGGCCACTTCGGGGTCAATCACTGATAGTTCCCCGACCCCCTCCGTGATGACGCTTAGCAAGGAGCCCCCGTTATTCCCTGATGGACCAGGAGTGGGCTCAGAAGTTGGCTTCAGGGTGGCAGGTTCCACTACCGTGTCTCCCATGGCCACAGCCAGACTTCGAGCTTCCAAGCTACAGGAGGGAAGAGGAGAAAGGTACAGAAAGGGAGACACATAAACATATAGGTTAGTGGTGCCATCCTCAGGTCTTCTCTTTGCCATGAAACCTTCCTAGGCACTTCTTCTCTTTCTGTCTATCTGGACTCCTTCAAAAACAGATGAAAAGTCATCTCCCGCCAAGAAGCATTCCCTGACCACCTCCCCTCTGATCGCGGCTTTCCCCTTCATTCCTTCTGAATTTAGTTACTCAGCTTGGGCTCTGTTCCTAACTTGTATTTACAAAATGTTGCTTTATATGTGTTCTGTTTATACAGGGTTACAAATTCTTCAGCTAGGTTGAAAAGCAATTCTGGTCTTATTCCTTTGTCCCTATTCTATCTTTGTGCTCTTCCCACGTCTCTTTTTAAATGCCCGCCCATAACCTTTTTCTTTTCCTCTTTGAACTGTATTTCCTTACTCATTAACGCTCCATACACAGGTCCTGGGTATCTCACCTTTATTTAGTATTAAAGTCTTGATGTATTTTTCTAGTTATTGATACATTTTTACCTTTCCTTTTAGAATCAAAGTTCCCGTGGAATAAGGGCAAGCAATACCAGGTCAAGCTTCATATAGAAATAAATACCTATAAAACAACTATCAACCACCCTGCTGAAGTCGTGCCATTTGTCTGACTTCATGATGTCACTTCCTCTTTCTCCAGTGCTGTGACAGCTAAAGTATAGTGGAAGGAGTCCTGATCGTGGGGGTCAAATAGGATGGAGTTAACAATTCTGCCATTATGAAATGTATGAACTTATGCAAGTCATGTGGCTTCTGAGTTTCCGTTTCCTCGACTGCAAAAATGGGAAAAACATATCTATACCTCACTGTTGCCACGCAGAATAATTAACTTCATGCATGTAAAAAGATCGAGCAAAGCCCCTGGCACAAAGCAGCACTCAATAAATGCTAGCTGAATCCTAATTACTGAAAAGCTTAGTAAACAGTGTGTGTGAGCCTGTGCGCGCGCACACGCACATACTGTTATTACAAGGGAAGTGAATTACAGTTACCTCGTTGTTTGAAAATCTTCCAAAACATTTATGACAGCCCTCTGCTATCCCAACACTACTTTCCCCATTATCATATACACACTCCAAGAACTGGAGGGGCTGTGGAAAAAAAAAAAAAAGGAAAAGAAATTAGGCTGGAACTCACGGGTCTAGAACATCTAAAGAACAGGGGGAAGAGGACTTACACAACCAGGAATCCCTCTCTGGAGGGAGTCTTGGGAGGAATTTCAGCGAGAGAACACTGCTGACAAAAGCCATTGCCTTCCTAACATGATTCTCCAGAGGCTCACCAAATCCAGATCAGGAGAATCAGTGCAGAACAGAAAGAAATTTCAAAGTAAGGACTGGGAGAGGCACGCTGTTAATGTCAGATCAACACAGCTCAAGAGTAAGATTGTAGTCAGCTCAGAGGCCTCCTCACAAAAATGCAGATAGAGAGAATCTAAAACATGCTCAAGGATACAGGCAACAGAAAGGCAGAGGCTGCTGTAGAGCTGGAGTGCAGGTAATTTACAACTAATAGTGGCATCACCTTTGACCCTAGTGAACCTGGGTGCATATACTTTGTGGAGGTGGAAGGAGGCTCCAGATACAGATGCACTAGTCACTCTGGAAAGCCCCATTTTCCACTGTCCCTTCCTACACCTCTAACATGTTAAGAGTCAAGGTTACTTTCATCTGCCCAATATTATGCAGTCTCGCTCCCTGTCTCCCAGCAATCAGCATTAAAGTCTCACAGGAAGGCAGAGAGGGAACTCTTCTGTTCTCAGAGATCATCAAAAAAGGCTACTTCAGTTTATTTTTCTCCCAACTCTGTCAAGTAAGAAGTTCACCTCCAAATTTAATATCCCGATGCAGTCTGAGTTTGTCATTGGTAAAAAAGGTGGCAACTCTTTCACTATACTCTCCCCAAATTATGCAGTGCCTTCTGAGCAGTAGAACCAGCATGGCTGCCTGCATGGATCTGTCTCTACTCGCAACTACGGGTTGCACAGGAATAGTAAGAAGAAAGCTTTAATCATCCCCTGCCACACCTCTATAGGGCATTCTGCACCAGAAGGTCATTCTAATTCAACTGGGACCACTACCTTTTAGGTCTACTTAGAAACTCACATGACAGCTTCAGTTGTTTTATGCAAACAACCCTTTTGCTTCTCAATCTCTCTATGCTTGGCACATCTTTCCCCTTTTCTCTACTCCAGAGACTTTCAAGTCACCAACACCTCATAAGGTCCACATTTCAAAACTTCCAAAGAAAATGAAGTTAAGACATTCTCCCACATACAGCGTCTCAGATCTCACTAGGAAATGCAGTAGTTGTCTGCTCCAACCGATCACAGTGGGGGTTATTACTGTCACCAGTAAAAGAGGTAAGGGTAACATCATTTCTTTCACCCTGGGACTCAGCTAGGAATCCCCTATGACAGTATTCAGGGGACCTTCCCACTGAACAGAAACCCCATTTGGCAGCTGTTACTCCCCAAGGAACCAGATGATGTCAAGAGGTGCAGGAAAACCAGACTTCTCTCCTATAGAAGCAGCTCTGCACTGGAAACTGCCAAGCTGGGCCTCCCCCCTGGCCTCTCTGAGCCTCATCTGAAGCAAACATTGGGGGGGGGGGGGGGAGTACTGAAGGGAATGTAGGTTGTTTTTGTTAAATGTAGACAATAAAAAATAGGAAAGGTGTTTTCTAAAATCTAAATCCAGATATGGTCCTCAATATCAATTCTTTCACTTTCAAATGCAAAGAAAAAACAGCATTGATAAGTAACCATTCTAAAGTGAAAGGACTAGAAAGTGAAAGGAAAAAGGAAGAAACGGGTCCTGCAATCAGCACCCTTCTCCTTACAAGCCAGAGAATAAGTAAAAACTGAGAGAAGAAGACCCAAACCTTTAATATCAAAGGACTCCCCTGGCTCTCAATGACATCAGATGCAGGAGGCTCCACATGTTGCACTAGGTGCCTGATCTGGCCTTCCAGTGAGACTGGGAGGGAATCGAAGAGGCCTCCCCTACCCCGCCTAGCAGCTGGCTTCTAGGAAAGGCGAGTGAACCGCTGGGTTCCACAGCGAAGTCTGGGCAATGTCGGGAATCCTCATCTGAGCATCAGAGCGTTTTTCAGAGCAGAGCAGCGGTAGAGGGCAGAGGGGTTACAGGCATGTGTTCTGTGTGATTGAGCATTTAAGTAAATGTCTCCAGAGGACCCTGGGGTGAGGGAGTGTTATCACTTAGCTTGGCTTTCCACTTCTCTTCACCTCAAAAGATTCTATGCAAACAACCCTCCACTGGCCTCCATTAAAGGATTTACTGAACTGGTCTCTGCTAGGACAGGATGGTAAAGAGCCCTGAATCCATCCCCTCACCCAGTTCATCACCATTCCCTTCTTCAAATATTTTTCCATGGGCTAAATAAATATGAATTGGTTCAGAACAATCCCCATGTTTTATATGTCCCTGTATTTTCATAGAATGGCCTTTAAAAGATCATCTGATTTCGTGCTCTGTCTCCAAACAGATAGGTGAGATCAACTTCCCTCCTCCTTTGAGACGGACCATATGAATCGGAAAAAGGGAAAGCAGAGCCAATACCTTCATCCCACAAGATGGGTAGTTAAGAGAGGCTGTTAGAGTTAATGGAGCCAGCCGGCGTGGCTCAGTGGTTGAGCAACAACCTTTCTGTTTCTATTTCTCTCTCTCCCTTCCTCCATCTCTAAAATCATTAAAAACATTTTTTAAAAAGTTAATGGAAAAGAGGGAGCATCTGATATCTTGCTCCCCAGTGTATGTCATCAGTTTGGCTCAAACTCATAAAAATTCTTTAAAAATTGTTAATGGAAAAGAAAGGGAGGTTCAAATATGTTATTTAAGGTTTCCTTAATAATGAAATTAAAAAACGACATAATCACTTCCTTAAATGAAAATGACATAATCATATAGACAAGAGATATAAATCCTAGAGCGTAATCCTCTTTGTAACAACTAATAAATCAAGAAATAGAGACACAAGCATTTTATCTAAAGCTCTGGCAATGACCTTCAGAAGTGAACACTGAGCTAATTAAGAGGTTACCTCTAAAGGAGTAGAAGAGATGCATGGAAAGGGACTGTTGCTTCTCGTCATAAACTCTCATGTACCACTGGATTTGTTACCAAGTACACATGTACCTTTAATAATGATTTTTTAAAAAGCTGCTCTTCAAAAGAGACTCCACATCACTCTAGGCTACCTGTTCTCCTGTTGAGAAGTTCCTTCTCATGTTCTAAGGTCTAATTCAAACCTCGCTTTAAGGAGGTCTCAGCTCATCTTCCCCCCTTGACCTCAATGATAGAGATGGGAGACTGAGTACTACCTTTTCCTGGTAGAAACGAAGGCCCAAGCAGCCAAGCAGGCTCCAGCCCTAATAGGAACCAGGTAAATGGTTACTCAAAGCCCCAAGGGAGGTTGGCATCAGGAGAGAGGGCATTCTCAAGCTACCAGCAGGGGGGCAGGGAGGGCAGTGGTCTCAGGATAGTTAAGTCAATATTGAATCAGGCTGAGAACTCTCTCTGCAGTGCCATGGAGCTAGTCTAAGCAGATTCCAGCCAGACAGCCCAAGCCAGCTCCGGAGCCTCTGCTGAAACAGACAGACGACAAAGAAAGCAACCTGTACACTCACCTCTCTCTGAACTGATCCTCCCTGCTGCCAGCCCCACATGGGCTTGGACTAGGTTCTCTCTTATCTCATGCCAATTACTGAAAGGTTCCTCCCAAAGCTCTTCCCCAAATCAAAGAATCTCAATTAGCTGCTTTGGATGGTGTTCAGCAAATATGTTCTCATGCAGTGTGCACCCAGCTCTGAGAAGCAGGAAAACCAAGGAACTATGATTTCTCTTCGGAAGTGCTTCCAAGGAGTAAAGCTGCTCCTAAAAAAGGGAGGTAATGAGTAGACTGCACTCTGGCTAATGAGCAAAGACAAGGGAGAAGTGGGACGAGGTTGTGTGATTATTTTCAAACAGGCCTGGAGTCGGAAGATGAGTGGAACTTCATGTGTCCTCTCTGCTATCGCAGGCCGAGAGAGAGACATGGCACGCCAGGGGGCAACGAGTTTCCTACGTCCCAGCTCACTCCAGCTCTCTTCTCCAGCTAGCGTCCTCAAAGGTCTTGGCCACAAACATACTTTCCACCTATGGAATCTGCACTGATGGAGCAAGTTCAGGAGGACGAGCTCAGCAACTACTGCACCTGGGGGCGGGGGGCGGGGGCGGGACGACGACAAGGTACACGAAAGCAGCAGGCCTGGAGCTTGTCTTCCAAACAGACTTACTCCCGTGGATGTAGACTAGACCAAAGGAAAATTCTACAGACAACTAAACCACTACTAATAACTTCTGTCGGAGAAACCCAGAATGCTTTGTAAAAAAAAAAATAAACTGAGTCTATCCCCCGCCAACCCATATCCTGCCCTTAGCCTATCACTGCACTGATGCCTAGAGAGTGGGCCCCTTTCCCCAAAATGCCACTCTAGAGGCCAAGTAGGAAGTCACATGAACCCAGAAGTCCTGGTGCTGAAGGCACAAGCTCTTCCCATGGTTCCTGGGCTCCTTTTCCCAGTTACCCCCCAGCCCTAAGCGCTTACGGAACCAACCAGAACGCCTCCAGTCAACCAGACAGTACAAGGATGCCTTTTGGGATCTGGGCAGGGGTGGGAGCACAGTCTACACTTGGATCCCTTTAAGACAAGCCTAAAATTATATAATTTAAAAAATTTTTTTTTTTCTTTCTCACAACGTCATTCAGAGGCGGACCCTGAGCAGTCAACAAAGTGTAATCTGACAGGGACCTCTCCAAACTGCTCCATCCTCCACCAACACCCTCCCGGCCGGAAAAGCCCGGGGACAGCCGGGGCGCCCCCGCCCCCCAACACATTCCTTCTTAGTTCAAGGTCTGGCTGGTCCTGGAATAAGTGGTCTGTGGCGATAACGGAGGGCGACAGAGAGCACACAGAGACCACAGGAAGCAGAACCAGGTGTCACCGGGTCCGCAAACCCCCGCCGCTCCGGGGAGCAGGAGTCCACCTTGGAAATCCTGAACCGGAGGAGGGGCAGGAAGAGACCCCCAAAGGCTGGAGGACTGAGGGGGGGGTGGGTAAGGGGAGCGCAAGGAAGTTACCGGAATCGCGAACCACAGAGGAGGGTGCGGGTCACGGTTAAAGGCTAACTAAAGGGCAGTTCGGGAAGGACGATGGGACCCTGGCGGACAGGGACACGGGCAGCCCCCGGGCGCCAGGAGCGGAGCCCCGGTGGGCGGGGCGGTAATGGAACCCGAAGAGGCGCGGAAGGGAAGGGGGGCCGCAGCCCTCAGCTCAGGGGCTGGGACCCGGGCGGGGGCTGCACAGAGACTTTGTGGAAAAGGGAGGCAGGCGGGGGCCCTGGGCAAGGTTTGGGGCAGGAGCACAGGCGGGGAGGACGAACAGGAGGGACACTGTAAGGGGCGTCCGATGCGAAAGGGGTTCACGGCTTGAGAGACAACATAATTCGGGAAAGGCAGCAGGGATAGGGGGAGGGGGGATCCCCGGGACAGAGGGAGGAGCTAAACAGAAGAGGAAGCCAAAAAGCTGAGAAGTACCCCAGGCTTGGCTGGAAAAGGGGGAGAAGGAACCCGGGGTGCAGCTGCCACCGGAGGGCAGTTTTGTAGTCGAACCTACGTGTGGGGGCGGGGGAAGGCTGTGCGGGACGGGGGGGAGAGGAACCCCCACAACACAGGGCAAGGGGGGCTCACGGAGTAGGAGTCGCTTACCTCCGGGGGACCCCCGCGGAGGGGGTGCGGGCGGTCGGGGTCGGGCTGCCGACACCGCCGCCTCAGCAGCAGCGGCCGCTCCTGGGTTCCATTGGCCGCCTGCGCTTCCCTGACAGCGGCCGCGGCGGCTGCACCAGGCCCCGGCGGCGGGGCTGCCCTCGGCGCCGCCTGAGGGGGCCTTCGCGCTGCCTCAAGTTCGGCCGGGCTACACAAGCTCCTCTTCCTCCCTCCGCATAACCAAGATCCCCCCCCAAAAAAAAATATCCCCAGTAAGGCTTGCTTCTTCTAAATCCAAGCCCTTTTCCTTGGGCTATGCTTCCCTGCTTCTCCGACGCTCAGGCCCCTACCATCCCATAGTAATCTAAGGAGTCCAGTGAGCTGCCTGAGACATGCCTGTTCAGAAATAGGAAAGGGGGCGGGAACAGATGTTTGGAAGCGCGAGGGGGCGGGGAAGAGGTCAAGGGGAGGAGCCTACGGGTGGAAGGAGGGGCCAGTCTTTGGGAGGCGGAGCTAAGAGGTGGAGTTTGCGAGGCTAAGGAAGCAGAAAGGGAAGTAAATTTTCCTGGAGAAGGGGCTGGGCCTCCCAGCGTAGAGCTGAGAGGGGCAGGCGGGCGTGGGTACCCAGTTAGAAGAGGAGCACAGACATGTTGCGTACTTCCATAAGAACATGCAAATTGCATGTAAATAAGTCCGTTTGAGTTAGTGAATAATTGCAATCAGTGGCTTTACTCCTCCCCTCTTCTCTTAGTAAATCGGGCGTGGAATGGACGCTGGGGCCCAGTGGGAAGAGGGAAAGAGGGAAGAGGGAGGGTGGGCGGAGGAGATAGTCACCCTCGAATACCCTTTTCCTATTCATTTTAAAGGACGGTGCCCAGATTACGCCCCTTATCGCTTCGGAATCTTTCCTACCATTAGTGGTGCGACCTGAGGCCGCGGTTCTGCCTCGGGAGTCACCACTTGCCTGGGCAGCCTTTGGCCTCCAGCCTCTGGACCTCGATCCCTCTAGGGAGCGGCTGGACAGGGCCAGTTTGGGAGAGGTGAGTGAAAAGACAAAGGCTTGGAGGGCACAACCCTTTCTTCAAAACAGAACAAAATCATATAAAACTAAACGAATAAACAAAAGCAACCCTGCAGCCCTTGCTGGTTTGGCTCAGTGGATAGAGCGTTGGCCTGTGGACTGAAGGGCCCTGGGTTGGATTCCAGTCAAGGGCACATGCCTGGGGTTGTGGGGTGTGCAGGAGGCAGCCTATCAATGATTCCCTCTCATCATTGATGTTTCTCTCTCTCTTTCCCCTCTCCCTTCCTGTCTGAAATCAATTAAAAATAAATAAATAAACCCAACCCTGCAAATGACCTCTGTTGTTGGTTTTGTGTATTTGCCAGCATTTTTATTGATTGGAAGCTCTCTCCATCAGAACCTCTGTCCCAACCCTCATAGGGCCTTATTTATTTTACATCGAGGCTAGTGTTTATTTCGAATTTTTATTGATTTTTAGAGAGGGAGAGAGGGAGAGATAGAAACATCAGAAAGAAACACCATCCATCTGCTGCCTCCTGCAGCACTCCATCCCCCTCTCCACTGGGGGTCCAGCCCGCAATCTAACCCTTAATCTCCTGGTTCCTGGGTTGAGCTCAACCACTGAGCCACACCAGCGCGGGGTTGGGGGGCTAGTTATTTGAGTCCAGGTCTCAGATGCCACCTCCCTGCCACTTATAGGCTGTTTGATTTGGGATGACTGCTTTAACAGTCTTTGTACTAAGGTTTCTATGTCTGCAAAGTGGATCCAGGAATATTAACTGTCTACGGGGGTCTGTGAGGATTAAAAGAGTACAGGTTACTACTACGTGTAGTACTATATTACTATTATTGGGACAATAATATAGGGTAAATGGTGAAAGAAAAGAGGGTCACTGCTTCGGTTTAATTGGAAATATATTTATGTCATGACCAGTGAAGAATACAGACATGTCTTTACTGAGATACGTTTCATAAAACAATACTTACCTTTACTATATGTAATGCATTCTGATATTTTCTATTTTCACTTTTTAAAGTTTTGCATCTTACTAAATCAGCTTCGCAATCTACTAATAGGATACAATCTACAGTTTGAAATAACTGGACTAAATAAATGTTCAAAATCGTATGGAAAGTGGTAAAGCTAAGATTTAAACTGAATTCACACTCTTTCCAGTAAAAAAGTTTCCTTATGAACAATTGATAAATACTGCTTTATTAATTATGTTATGCTTAGTTTTATCTTATAGGATGGAGCAAGCAGGATGATCCTAGACAAAGAAGTAGACCTACTGAGAAACTATAACATGAGACAAAATACTTAGATGAATATATAATGACGTTAATTCCTCTGTTTGGTATGTGAGTGAATGTGGCCATTTGCTTTGAAAGTTGTTACCCACAAAAGTGGGCAATAAATTTATTTGGAGACATAGACTAGACATAGAGTTTGTCTTAGTTTAACAGCAAAATATTATTTCAAATTTTAGTAAATTATAAATTATCTTTAACTTCATTTATGATAAAGCTAAAATGGAAGATGACACGGGGTGGGAGGGAGGTAAGGTAATGGGGAACAGAGTATTGGGAAGAGAATAAGAAATGGTTGGTAGAGGAAGCAGTACAGTCCCCAAAATCTTAGCTTAGCCCTTCATCTAATGAACTGAAGATTGCTTGGACTACAGAATAACTTGTTTCATATTTTAAAAATAGTGTTTTAAAATTGGACTGCCTAAAAACTATCTATCCCATCACCAGTGATTTATTTTTCCATATGTCTATCACCGCTAATGTGTCAGAAGCCTTGTCCAGTCCCTCATCCCTTCCCACATGGATAAAGGCAACCGATGCCTGGCTGGTTTCTCTTGACTCCATTCCCACATCCTAGAATGCAGACTTTATACCTTTTATACATTCATTCAATCAACACTGGTTGTGTATTCTTTTAGTTTATTTCCCGCTGTTGTTCATACACATCCATTTTGCCTGCCAGGTCTCTTTACTGGGTTATTCTGCCATGCCCACCCCCCCAAAACCCTGCTTTTCCTGGAATGCCCTCTTCTTTGCCACCAATCTGTCTACTTACCTTAAAGGATTAACTCATGCCTAACTTTTCCATAAAGCCTTCCCAAATTACTCAGTCCAAAGTGACCTCTCTGAATTTACATCCAGCTCTTATGCAGTAGAGTGGGTATCATGATTTAGCTCTTTTTATCATGTCTTATGTTGTTCTGTTCTTATTTAAGAGTTAGACTTGTCCAGCTAAATTCCTGCTCACCTCCACTGGGAAGTCATTCCTGATCCATGTCTGAGTTACGTACTATTCTTCTGGGTTACCACCGCTCTCTGTGCTACTCTTAACGTAACTCACTCACACTGTGCTGTGATAACTGACTTGAAAACAGAGCCCAAGTCTACTAGCTTCTAAAATGCAAACACCTAGCACTTAAAAAACAAGAAGGAAAATATTAAAACACAGTAATCGACTCCTACTTTTGACAGCATGGATAAAGGGCTTTCCCATTAAAATACAACTAGATCCTGGACAAATTATGGCAAGCATGATATTTAGCAGATTGCTGAGCTTGCTAGAAAGGGAAATCACAAAAAGAAGAAAAAAAGTAACATTAAGCTGAAATCTATGAAGGATGATCAACGTGCAGTAGGAAAAGCAGGTTTGCCCTAGGACAAATGCCAATACCAGTATTGTGAGCAGAAGCTAAACCTTGGGCCTAACCAAGGAAGGGGAGCAAACCTGGCATTCCTGAATTAAACTGTGACTCTTGAAGGGGCTAGCACAGTCCCAGGTCAAAAGCACCTTTTGGCTCCTAGTGGAAGCAAATACAAATCCTAGGTACCCACAACTGAGACCCTCTGGATTCCTGTAGGTTAAATTTAACAAAATGAGCTCGAAACCCAAAAATGGAAAATATATAAGGAAACAAGCTACCACAGGCAAAACAACAAAACAGATTTAGACATCCAAGATAAGTTATAGAATATAAAATAACAATCCCAACAAATTTCAAAGAACTGGTATCACAAAGACCACATTCTCTGAGCACAGAAGATTAAGCTGAAAATATAAAAAAAAAAAAGATATATTTTTAAATATTCAGGCACTTGGAAATTATAAAACTCTTTGAAATAATTCATGAATCAAAAAGTCATAAAGGTAATTTAAATATTCTTAGAATAACAAAATACTTTACAACAGAAAACTTGGAGAATGTAGAGAAGCAGGTCCTTAAAAAAACTTACACTAGAAAAAAAAGAGTTTGAAAATTAATTAGATAAGTAGCAAAATTAAGAAGTTATAAAAGAACATAAAATTAAATCTAAAGAAACCAAAAGAAATACTATAGATAAGATCCATAATTAATATAATGGAAAACAAATACATAAGGGAGAGGATTAACAAAGCCCAAAGTAATAACTAAAGATAGGTAAGTAGCCCTGGCTGGCATGGCTCAGTGGGTTGAGCATCCTCCTGTGCACCAAAAGGTTGCCAGTGGGGTTGTGGGCTCAATTCCCAGTGGGGGGTGTGCGGGAGGCAGCTGATTGATGTTGTACTCTCACATTGATGTTTCTCCTCTCTGTCCCTCTCCCTTCCTCCTTCTCTAAAAATCAATAAATTATTTTAAAAAAAGATACACTGTAGACGAAACAACAAATTTCAAATTTCTGATGCAGTTGATCAAAGGAAAAAAAAGAAAGCACAAGTAGTAGAAAAGAAAAAGAGGACATGACTACACAGAGCAGAGGCAAAAAAAGAAAAAAATTTTCATTTAAAAGACATAAAATTGTCCTAGCCGGTTTGCTCAGTGGGTAGAGCATCGCCCTGCAAACTGAAGGGTCCTGGGTTCGATTTCAGTCAAAGGCACATACCTAGGTTGCAAGCTTGATTCCTGGTCTGGTCAGAGAACATACAGGAGGCATCCAATTGATGTGTCTCTCTCACATTGATGTTTCTCTTGGTCTCTCCTCCTCCCTTCCACTCTTTCAATGGGAAAATATCCTCAGGTAAGGATTAACAACAAAAAAAGGCAATTCAGTTCATTTCTTTTTTTAAAAAAGACAAAAAAATGCACAAAATCTTAAAACACTTTACCTAATTATACTAAAAAAGAAACGAAAGCCCAAATAGCCTATAATTATTAAAGAGATTGAATTAATAGTTAAATTTTTCCCACAAAGAAATGCCAGGCTCAAATGGTTTAACAGGTGAGTCTTAACCACATTCAGGGGATGGTTCATTTCAATCTGATATAAACTCTTCCAGGAGGAAACAGTCCCCAATTCAGGATATACAGACCAAAAGAACCATTCTAGAAATCTTGCTAAAAACAAAAGCACTAACATACACAAGAATGCTCATAGCAGCATTGTTTGTAATAGCAAAAACTGGAAATAACCCAGAGCCCATTGATAGGTGAATGGAAAAATAACTTGTGGTTTATGTACTGATGGAATATTATACAGATGAAAATGAATGAATCATAGCTATCTACAATATAGATGAACCTTAGAAATAAATGTTAATTGAAAAAAAGCAAACTACAGGATATTATTAAAGAACAAATTTTTCATAAAGCTAAAAGCAAAAATGAACAATACATTTTTAAAAGATATATACATATATATATTAGGTAATTAATAAACACAAAATTAAGGACAGTAGTTACCTCTAGGGAGAGGCAGGGGCTAGGATAGGGAACACAAGAAAGTCAATGATATTTCTAATGTTTTAATGTATAGGTTGGGTAATGGGTCATAGGTAGTCATTTAATTATTATACTTCATAATTTATTCATGTTAAATATATTTTATAGATATCAAACATTACATATTATAATTTTTAAAAATCTACTGTGGTGGAAATAAATGAACAAATGAAGTCTCCCTGAAAGAAAATCTAAATTTCTTGGGAAGAACCAAGATTCCCTGACAGGAGCTACCCTATGCAAAAGACAAAGTAGGTCCTTAATCAATATTGGCTGGTTTACTGCTTCTCCCACTGACCCACCTGGAGGGTCTGGATCCCCTTCCTCTTGGTGTTCCCTGATACAGAGCTACCTCCTTCCACACAGCCGGCCTACACCTGGCTAGTCCTGACATGTGTACCAGAGACTGACACCTGGTGGATACAGAATGAATTTAATAAAATGATTAGAAGCAAATCTCACTCTATTTAGTGATAGTGGCGGAAGGGTGGGAGACAGGGAGGCAGAAATGAGAAACTAAAGTTCAAAAACAGGAAAAGGAAGGAGCTCCATCTCTGAGCCATAGGTGAAGGGGGAAAAAAAAGGTATTGTCATCTAAAGGAGACTGAAGAGATAGCTCCTAAAGGAGAGCGACTTTCCTCTCATTTCTTGAGACCAAAATAAAAAGAGGTTACAGCTGCAGTAAGAAAAATGCAAGACTATGAGGGGAAAAGCAGGTATAGCTAATCTTAACCTAGCAAGCTAAAATCACTTGTACTTCATAGTAGTGGCCAGGTGTCAGCCCCCTCCCCAGGAACTTCCCCTCCCAGTTTCTAAGGAGGCTAATCCCACCCTCATTCCACAGGTGCAGTCCTGATGTAGACGACGCAAATTAGCATCGACATCCCCCTGGCCACAGGGATTGGATAGGGGTGGGCATGTGACAGGAGTTCGCCTAATCAGAGTGAATCGCAGGGTTTTTGCTAGGATTCTTGGCAGAAAGATGCCCTCTGTTTCTGGTTGGATATAAATGAGGAGGCATTATAATTCTAGGAGTGCTGGCAGCCACAGGCAGCCCAGGGTGCCTGTGATCCTACAGAAGGTAGAACAGTGCGGGTGGCGAGGCAATCAGGTATTTAGAGATGTGCTGAGCCACTGGATCAGCTTTACCTGGAGCCAGCACTACCTGTGGACTTTACAGTTACATGAGCCAGTAAATCTTTCCTTTAAACCAGTTTGAGTTAGGTTTTCTATTATTTAAAACCAAAAGATTCCTAGCTTATACATTCATCATATTACTCCACCCCTATTGTTCCCACAGGATAACACATGGATCAGATTTACTAGCGACTCTAAAGCCAAGGGTATTGAGCTGAAAAGGTCAGAGGCAGGAAGCAGGCACTGTGTAAGACAGGTGCCTCAGCTGTCTATACAGAAGAGCATGAATTCCCTTTGGAAAAGAAGAGCCAGAGAAGCAAGTCAGAAGGGCTTTACAAGGCAGACAGGCAGAGTTCACATCTGGTTTAAACACTCTTCTCTACGTATTTATCATGGGGGTGTTGCTTTGGGGTCTTTCTGCTCATGGGATGAGGGACCTGGAAGCATATGCCCTTTTAAATCTTTATTACCCTGTGCTATAGTATCCACCTCTCCCTTTCCCAAATGAAGAGCCTCCTTATGGCTTCTGCTGGCCCTGATGACACTCACTTTTGGACTGACAAGAGGAATTTTATCTTCCCCTCCTTTGGCATGGCGGGAACTGGAACTGGGGCCCCTTCCCTTAGAAACAGCACCATCTTCCTGACCCTGGGCAAGCACCGTCCCCTTCTCGGCCTTTCCCACTGGCCCTGGCCTCTCTGACCCTCCAGCTGAGTTGCTTTCCTCTCTAGTAGCCCACGTCTCCCGTGGTAACCTTGAGGACTGGGCAGAGGCCGTGGCAGCTGCTGACTTATCAGGGGCAGAATTCCTTTCCCTACTTCCACCTGATTTTTTTCGAGGGCGCCCCCGTTTTCTTTTGGCATCACTTCCTGTATCCTCTATATCCTGCTTTGCAGCTTTTGCTGGTGGGTCCTGCCCATTGGTCTCACTCATAGTTACTTCGGCTGTCCTCTTGACACCCTTGTCATGAGGTCCTGGGTCACCACCTATGCCGACCTCCCTATTCTCTGTGCCCAGGGGCTGAGTGAGCCCCCCAGGTGGAGCTTGCACAGGTCCAGGTCCAGGTCCAGGTCCAGGTCCAGGTCCAGGTCCAGGTCCAGGCAAAGCAGGAACAGTTGGTAAGATCATATTAATGATGGGCACAGCTGCCTGGGTTCCCCTAACTCTACTGGACACAGGCAGTGCAGTCAATTTCAGAGTGCCTGGAGAAAGCTTGGGGGCCACAATGGGTGGAGAGACGGCGATTTGCTGAATAACTGGGCGAGGGGCCCGGGGGAGGAGCAGAGGCAGCCGGGCCATCAGGGCATTAACCTGTGGGTTATTGGCTGCTGGGGCCGGACTCTCTACTACAGTCTTCTTCCGTTCTCCGTGTGCTGAGGGACCAGCCCCAGCTCGGGGTTCCAGCTCCTGAGGAGGCTAAGAAGTAAAGAGAGGAACACAGTAAATGGGAAGCCTGGACACTGGAAGAAACAGGCACAGGAGGTGACAGTATGGGACCCACGGAGGAAGGTACATTAAGCCTGAAGGACAGGGCAGCAAGGTCAGGAGCTCCAACCTCCTACCTGGGTCGGTCTCTCTGGTTTCTTTTGGGCTCCACCCTCTAGGTTCTCCACACCATTCTTAGATTTAGATGTCCGTTCCCGAGGGGCACGTTCATCCTCTTCTGCAGAAGTGCCAGAAAAAGGAGTAAGTTGAGGAGGTAACAGAAATGGAGGAGTGTGGCAATTCGGACTGGTGGAGGTAGTGGAAAGAAGGTGGTCTAAGGCATGTCCTAGAAGGGTCTCTAGGAATAGAAGGCAAATTCAAGGTGTCTCTATCCTAGTACATGGGAGGGCTTTTGAAGTTGAAAGTGGCTGAGGGTTTCTCAGGACAGAAGACAGGGTCCACCCACCGGCAAGCCCCATGGCCTTGAGCACATGGGCATGTGCAGATCGGGCAGAGATGAGATGATGCTGTAGCAGGAAGCGGGCGACCTCAACGATGGAACTGAAGGACCGTTTCAGGATTCGCTCTGCCCAGTCACAGGTCAGGGCACAGGCTGCCTCAACCAGTTCATCCCGAGGTGCTGGGGTTACTTCTGGGCCCATTTCTGGCTGCAGTGGGGAAGGACATGCCTCATAATACTCCAAACTCAAGGACCCTTGGCCCCTCTTGAACATCCACATTGGCCATAGTAAGACCAAAGTGGGAATGGAATTAGCCTGTACCGTCCCGTCCCAGAAACCCACATATGCTCTTCATCCTCTGCCTCAGCCAGAGGGTGGGCAGAGGGGCACATCCTATATACTCAGAAGCTATGAGCAGAATCACCTAGGCTGTATCAGTCTTCAAAACATGTCCCAAAGACCTCTGACTTCTACCTTGGAGAGAAGAGTGCAATCAGGGTTGTTACTTACACTCTCAGAGCCCTTTAGGTCAAGGCCAGGCAAGGGTGGCATAGATACCAAGGTCTTTCTTCGTATGCCACTGTAGCAATATCTGATGTAAGTTAAGGAGAAACCAACATCTGGGGATCACCAAGCCCCTTAGCAAGGATGGGCTGTTTCTACTCCGGGCTCTCCATATCCATAGGTCTTCCTCCCCAGGTCCTCTGGCCCCAAGCTCTCCAGTCAAGGATACTTGGACTGACCCCGGCCACCAAGCCTTCGGGCCTTGATGTCAGGGAAGATCTCTCTGATGATTTTGCCAAAGTTGGCTGTGCTGAGTGGGCGGCAACAAGCGAGGCTCTCACAGTACTTCCTGAGTGAGGGGTGGGGGCAGAGTGGGAAGATACTCAGAGAAGGAGGTCATGGGTGGGTTCAGAGGGTCCCTGGGGATGAAGTTTGGAAAAGCTTTTTAAGAAGTCAGGCTCTTCCAAGGCAGGGAGCTCTCCAGAGACAACCCACCCTTCCACTCCCCCTATCCACCCACCGATAGGCATCATAAACGCTTTGCTTTGGTAGACAGGTGTCAGTATGCTCTTCCAGGTGGTTTCGGATCCACTTGCAGGCATACATGTACTCCTCATTGTTAGGTGTGTTTGGCTCTGAGCTGCAAAAGAGTTAAAAAGAAAACTGTTACTAAATTCCCAACAGTTGTCCTGGTTCTATCCAGACTACCACTTCGGTAGTGCTGGACCAAGTCACTTCACTCAGAATCTATTTCCGCTAACTCAGTGCAGGACAGGGACATTTCTTCTTGGTCAAGAAGAGCCATCATGAGTATTCCTATTCACCGCACCCTTCCCCAGCGAGCCTTTAAGAATCAGAACCTCTGACATCTAAAAGCCTAGCATCAAACATACCTTTTGTCTCCAGTACTGGGCCCTGAGGGGAGCTGAAGGTAGAGATACAGCTTGTCATTGTCTGAAAATTTCTGTACATCTTGCTGAGGGAAGGAAGAACAGAGGCAAGAGAAATAGTAAGGCCAAGAAGGACCCTCCGATCCTTACCAAAAAGTCTAGCTGACTTAGAGGCTGTCAGACTGAAAAAAAGTCTGAGAATGATTTAAGGCTGGATGCCCGCTGTGCTCTGAGGAACCCGTATGGGTCACCACCGTGACAGGGGGAGCAGATTCGACTGATTTCATTTCTATTGGGCTTCCATACAACAGGTCAGAGAGAGGGGAAGTGAGGTGCTCAAGGTCGAATTGGTAGTGAGTTGCAAAGCTAATTATCTCCCGACAGGGTAGACATCACTGCCTCTCCCACAAACACCTTTAATTTGCTCATGTCCTCACCAACCTCATCCCCCACCAATTCAATCTCTCTACTGCCCTTTCCCCAAAAAATACTTACCAAGATTCCCTCTACTTTGTTCTGCACGGCCTTCCTGTGGAGAAAAGGGAGAAGCGGGAGGTCAGACGAGATGTCCCCCATCCCGTGTCTGACTGCTAGGGAGGGGAAGAGGACGCCGAGGTCTGGCAGGTGCTCAAGAACTGCTACCCCGCCAAGAAGCTCCCCCTGGTCAGATGCATTTGCTCAGGGAGAGGCAGTCCATCTGCAGCGGAAGCAGGGTGCTCCAGGGATCTATACTGGGGAGCTACACAAGATCTGGAGGTGGCCACGAGCACTTACGAGATGGTACCCCGGAGCTTCTGCAGAAGCGTGGTGGGCTCCCCCGCCTCGGCACCGCCTGAGGGGGCCCGGCCCGCGGGCTTCGGGCTCTTGGTGTCGGGTTCGTCTTCGGCCATCCTGGCATGAGGGCGGGAGCTGGCCGGAGACAGGCGAGTCAACGTGCCTTCCCTGGAGACACCCCGCTCCCCCATCCTCATCTCTCTACCCAGAAAGAGAAGCAGAGAGCAAGCCTCCGAATTTCTCCAGTGTTTTTGTTTCTTCTTTCTCACCACTTGCCTTCTCCAAAAATTAGAAATTATTCCATTACTTCTCCAGGCCTATAGATATAGATATAGACATAGATATACCCCCAAAGCCCTTTGCCATCTCCACCCTATCTGCCCCACCTCCTTGCAGCCTCCCATATGTGGAAAAACCGTAAAGGAAGAGACAGGAGGCTCGGGAATCCACGCGAGGAAGAAATTGTCATTTCTGACTCTGACCTCATGCTGCCCTTTTCTCCCTCAAAAACAACCACCGCAAGACGAAGTTATCTAATTCTCTACTAGACGCCCGGGAGGTCGGAAAGGATACGAACGCATTCTGCCCCTCCAGGCTGGGGGGGGGGGGGGTTTGGGGGACCGGGCCCAAGTTCTCATCACTTCACCTCGTCGCCGCTCCCCCTCCCCAAGCCGCCAGCCCCTGCGTCATCTCCCTCTGCACCCCGTCCCGACGCGCGCCCCCGCCCGCTGCCCTTCCCCCGCCATCCAGCCCCGGGTTGCTGCCAAGTGGGGGGTTCGGGGTAGCGGAACTCCCGGGCTGGGCGCAGGAAACCCGGGTGGGGAGATGCGGTCCCAGGTTCGGGGCACGTGCACACGGGTGAAGACGTTGTTGGAAAGACAGCCGAGATGTTTTTCTCCTCTCCTCCCGGCTCCCACGGCCCCCTCCCATCTTCGAACAGCCGCCTTCCCGCACGAGCCACGACAAAGGTAAGGGAGAAAGAGAAACTACCTCGCAGCCACCTTCACTCCAGCCCAGCCCCACGGTCCTGGCCCGGCGGGCTCGTGCGTTGCTTTATTTTCTTTTTTCTGACTGGCTGGAGCAGCCCCGATCTGCCCGGATACTCGGAGGGCCTGCTCTGTCATTGGTCGTTGCTGCCACCCGGAGACAGAAGGCGCCGGGCTCGCCTGGGCGGCAGCTAAGGTCTGCCTGGTAACAGACTCTGATTGGTCAACAGGGGAGGGAAAATCCAAAATTGGTCTTATTTGAGTCAAGAGGGGGAAGTCCGGGTTAGGTTTCGGTTAAAACTGGGGTCGGTTGGGACTGCAGGTCCCAAGAGGTTCTTCTCTTAAAGGGACCGCGGGACAAAAGTCCGGACGCTTGGCCCCCTCTGTAGCTTCCGTTTCTTTTGCTCTCTCCTTCCGTGTTTCAGTTTTGCCTCCGTTCGTCAGAGCTACTGGAAGAAAAGAACCAATGGATGATATAAACAATAACTGGGAAATTATGGATCGTAGTGATGGAAATTCACTGTAAGCTCACATAACCCCCTTTTGATAAAAAATAAATCGAACCATTTCTCCCTCCAGCCCCCATAGGTATACAGGCACTCACAACAAACCTGCCAGCAGGCTCACTGTCTTCGTGGATGGAGGCCTGGAAACCTCAGCAGCTGTACTAAATGAGCTGAATTGCAAGCCAAAATGCATCCAGTGCTCCTTGGTTCCCTGTGTGCCCTTTATTTCCTTACAAAGAGTGGCCACTGCGATTGCAGCCCGGTGGTTCTGCACTGGGGAACACTGGAATTGTGGCTGACTCCCCAAGGGCCATGCTAGACGCCCACCCCAACTCTTCATTCTCAGAGAACTGTGTACGAATGGGTCACGGGTTCTTAACCCTCTCAGTTAGTTAGGCTTTTTAGGCCGTGACTCACATGGAAGCCATGAACCGTGAAAACTAGTAAAGGAAATTTCAATTACAATTGGAGACCGGAATGTCTCTAGAGGGAGCTCTCATGCCCTAAACAAGAAGAGACGACCTTGCACCTTAGCAGAAAGTGCTTCTACTTCACTCCCGCCTAAGGGGAAGGAAGATTTTCTTCTCACCCAGCAACAAGCCCAGCCAAGGGAAAAAGTGCTGTTCAGCCAATGGACAGCCATTGTCACCCTGAACTCTTACTTTCCTCCAATGAACGTGCACTTTTCTTTTCTAATGATGTCTTTGACCCACCTCCTTCCTAGAAAAGACTTCCATTAAAAAAAATTATCTTTTCAATTATTTAGCCTCTGTGTATTTGTGTTTTTCAATATATTTTTTTTTTGGTAGTGGGTTTCTAGTTTCATACTGTTGTGGTCAGAAAAGATTCTTGATATGCTTTCAATCTTCTTAAATTTATTGAGACTTGTTTTGTGGCCTAACGTGGTCTATCCTGGAAAATGTTTCATGTGCCCTTGAAAAGCATATATATTGTGCTGCTTTGGGGTGAAATGCTCTGAAAGTACAAATTAAACCCATCTTGTCTAATGTGTCATTTAAGGCCACTGTTTCCTTTTAATTTTCTGTCTGGAAGATCTATCCATTGTTGTCATTGGGTTGTTAAAGTCCCCTGCTATGATGGTATTACTGTTGATCCCACCCTTTATGCCCATCAATATTTGCTTTATATATTTAGGTGCTCCTGTGGTGGGTGCATAAATGTTTATAGGAGTTATATCCTTTTAAAAAAACAACAACATATTTTGATTGATTTTAGAGAGGAAGAGAGAGAGAAATATTAATGATGAGAGAGAATCACCGATTGGCTGCCTTCTGCATGCCCTACACTGGGGACTGAGCCCTACAACCCGGGCATATGCCCTGACTGGGAATCAAACTGTGACCTCCCAATCCACAGGTCAACGCTCCACCACTGAACCACACCAACTGGGCTCTTTTTCCATCTCTTAACCTTGAGTCTGTGTGTGCCTTTTGATCTGAAGTGGGTCTTTTGTAGACAGCATATTTATGGGTCTTCTTTTGAAGAAGGCGAACTTGTTAAATTTAAAAGGTCAATATTGTAGGCACGAGCAGCCATGCACTGCCCTCTGTTGGCCAGGTTAAGACATGGCATATGTGTTATGGGGTTCATGGATCTTTCAACAATAAAAGCCCACACCAGACTGAGACCTCTTCCCAGGCTTGCCGTTAGACCAGAATAAATTCTGTCAGAGTCAGTGTTTTGGGGGTGCCTCCTAGTAGAAGTCATTGCCCTGTCATTTCACACTAGAAAAACATAGGCCTCATCCCAAGTTCGGTAGTTCAGAGAGTGAGTATTGAGCTCCCGAATCCAGCCTTGGGTTCTAGGACGGTCTTTGTCTGAGGAGAGGCCTGGTCAGGGAACCCTGGGGTGCACTCCTCTCCATAGCTACCCAGGGTGGAGGAGTCTTGGCCCCTTTTATGCTGAACTTACACAATTCTGAATCTCACCCTCACTGGATACTTGGGAAACTGAGGCCCATAGAGATCCAGGGACTAGCCAGGGTACATAACAGGCACAGTCCAGAGGTCAGGAGTGTTCCGAACTCCTAGGCAAGGGTTTTAATCTCTCCCATAAGGTTGGTTTGGAAATTAGAAATCCTAACATATTGGGAAGCTCTTGCCTATTTCTGCCTATGTGGGGGCTGTATTTTTCTGGGATCCAGTAAATGAGTACTGGCGTGCGCATGCACACACACACACACATTCATTCTCTCTCTCTCTCTCTCTCTCTCTCTCTCTCTCTCTCTCTCTCTCTCTCTCTCTCTCTCTCTCTCGATGTATCAACTATGGGAGGGATACTAAGAGGAGCATACCCAGAGGAGGTGACAACAGAAAGAAAATACAGATTAGAGCCACTTCCTATACATGACAGCACTCCTCCAACTTCATACGTATCTTTCCACATGTGCCTGAACATTATTTCTAAGAAGTACATGCTGGAATAATGTCATTGTGCAGGCAGGAGACAGACAGGCCCTGACAGTCACAATGGCTCATCCAGGATCAGGAAGAAGGGGACTCAGGGAAGGGGATCACAGGAAGTGAGGTCACTTCCCTAAAGAATTTAGAACCCCCCGTAACCAGGCAGGCACATTCTAGCAACAGCCCAACAGCCACTTCACTTGGCAAGAGACACTTGAGAGTTGAAGATGTCCTCTTGCTGGATCTCTTGTTATCGGGGTTCTTGCTCCCGGAGACCCCACAGTGGGAGTTTTTCTAAATTCTGGAGACGTTGGTTCAACCCTCATCCCCGGCGTCTCTGGCCATTCTCCAGGAGATCCCCTCAGGTAACACAGGCAGCCTCAGGCAGCCCAGTTCAGGCCGGGCCACCTCTGGGAGCCATCCCTGGGCAGCCCCCATCCCCTCCTCTCCATGTGGGGGAAGGGGAACCTGAAGGGAGGACCCCTGGGCAGGTTGCAGGGCGGGGCATATCCTAGTGATGCTGTCATGACCACAGCCAGCACGGAGAGGGGCTTTCCAAGGGGCCTTTCTGTGCCAATGACAATCCTAGGCCCTCAGCTGTCACGTCTTTTCTGTCCTTCGTGGGGGTCTGAGTAAAATGTGTATGTGTCTGGAGTGGAAAGAACCATAGGGTCTGCGAAGCACAGGCCGGGCTCTGAGGCTTTCCGCCTGGCGGCTGGGCACTGTCTCCACAGAGCTCCCCACAGGAGGTCAGACAGGAGGTCAGACAGGAGCCGACTGATGGGGTTCTCAACGCCATCCCCCAGCAGGAGGCACAGGGGCCCCCCGCTGCCAAAAGAGTGCCGCTCGGTCTCAAGGTGAGTGCAGAGGCCCAGGTGGCCCGACCTCCAGGACCCCAGGAGTCAAAGGGGCCCGGGTTCCAGAAGCCACCCTGCTACTCCCCGGAGCCCCTTCCTAGAGTCCTGCTCCCAAAGGGACCTGGGTTTCCATCTTCTCCCCCAACCCACCCTCACTGTCCAGCCCCTTCCTGCCAGGAGCAAAGTCACTGTCTGCATATTTGTAGGAATATCAGGAAGGAGGCTTTTGTATCATTTCACCTCATGTTCAGTCAAGAGTATTTTTGCATTTTTCTACAGATTTTCTTGTTTAACACCCATCCCCAGGTGTCCATGTTGGCCTGACAATCCTTACACTCCTTCTCCCAGTTTTACTCATCATCATGCTTGGGGGATGCTTGTCCCTCCAAAAGACACGGGGCTCATGGTACCATATCTGTTGCTTTGCAATTTTCTGCCCTGGAGGAATGCATCCCTGTGGTTCCTCCAGGTCAGGAGCTGGGTCTCCCAAGGCTGTATGTCATACCCTGAGGGGGACTGGTTACCATGGCGATCCAGCCCTTCCCTGCTGTGGGACCTGGACTGAGCCCCTTCTGTTGCCATGTCAACAGTGCTGCCCTGAACATCTCACATGTCCTAATATCCTGACCCCTCCCACCCCATGAAAAGCCTCTGTGTTCTCATCTTAGCATGGGATGCTCGGTCAGAAATCCCAGGGATGACACTGTTAACACAGGGACGTGCTGTCCATCCTCAGCTAGCAAACTATGACCTAGGTTACTAATGTGTTTCATCATTCCCCTCCCCCAATTCTACTTTTCATGCCAAGAACCTTTTCTCTCTTGCGAGCACTCATGTTCCCCACCAGTCACTGAGGGCTTATGGGTTCAGTCTGAGCTGCAGCTGCCAACCCACCTGGTGGTCCATGATGCTGTTTTGACTGCGTGTCCCTCCTCTGTCCCACCCCAGGGGCAAACCGCATCCACCGGGAACACAAATAAGCTCTGTATGGTGCCGACCGCCCGGGCACACCGGCTGGCCAAGCTGGTGGAGTACCTGGTGCCTGCCTTCCTGGGCAGGGACCCCACCTTCGTCCCCACCTTTCTCTGGAACTACAGAGCTTTCGCCACCACCCAACAGGTGTTGGATCTACTGTTGACAAGGTGAGCACCTGCCCCTCCACAGCACAGTGGTCATCCGGGCACTTGCTAGCTGTGAGTCTTCAGAAGGTCACTGCATCTCCCTGAGTCTGTGTGCTCCTCTGAACAGCGGGGTAAACCCAGGAGCAAACTCATAGGATTTTTATAGAAACCTGGTGAGGTCCTCCCTGTAATGTGCTCTCTGGGGGCCTTGCCATTGGAGAGGTCTGTGGGAGGGGTGGTGGTTGTGTTAACTGGTCATTTTCTCTTCCTCATGACGAAGCCTCTGCCTCATCCTTCACTTTCCTCAGGGCCTTGGGCTGAGCTGTTTTCTCATTTGAAAAGGAGATTGGAGATTTCATTAGGGTTCTCTGTCCTGGGTGAAGCCAGAGCAGGAATCCCAGGGGTGAGCAGCGGGCTAACTGAGATACCTGTGATGGGGCTCGTTCATTTAGCAAATATATCGGCAGGTGCAGGCATGTTCTAGGCACTGACCATAACCCAGTGCATGGAGCAGACCCCAGCCCTGCTTTCCAGAGCTTCCTTGTAGTCGGGAGTGAGACAGTCACACTAGACTTCACAGGCAGGTGGTGTTCACAGGGCAGTCGATGTGACGTCCTCCTGGCCTCCTCTAGGTATGGCTGCATCTTCCCATATGTTGAAGAGGATGGTGGGCCTCTGGACCAGCAGAAAAAGTGAGTGGGCTTTGGATCAGAGCCGGGAGGGGAGTATAGGGACTAAGAGTTGGAGGTGCTGGCAGAGCCCTGCATCCCACACATCGTGGGATTTCTGCAAGAGGGCCCAGGTCTGAGGACTTTACCTAGAAAAAAGGGAAGGAGTCATAGCATTGGATGTGGATTGGGTGGTGGGAGAGCATTGGGAGGTTAGTAGACAGTCAGCCCCTCAGAAAATCCATCCCCATCCCCTCTCCACCCAGCCCTGCATCCACTCCCCCACCCTGGGACCCAGAACAAGGGGTGTGGGGGGCACCCTGCTCACTAATCTGGCAGAACCTCCACAGTGGGTGCTTGGCTGGTGCTCCCCGCCTGTGGGAGTTGAGTGTCAGTGGGAGGAGAAGAGCCACACAGGGCACCTAGTGAGTCAGTAGCACATTGGTGCAGGAGCTAAAGTTTAAGGTGTTAGGGATGGAGAAAGAGTCCATTTATTTGCTCATCAGTCAGATATTCCTGGAGCACCTATGGTGTGCCAATGAGTGCAATGAACAAAGCAGACACCACCTCTCCTGCCCTCATGGAGTTGACCTTCCAGGAGGAAGGGGGCAGGGACACTGATAGAGTGGGCCAGTCTTCTCTGAAGATGGGGACAGATGGTCACAGTTACTGGACAGGGACCAGCCTGGAGCAGGTTTGCCTCAGGCCAGCCTGTAGTGTGTGGGTTCTTGACTTTGTGTAGGAAAGTTTTCACAACACAAGCCCTAGCCAGTTTGGCTCAGTGGGTAGAGCGTTGGCCTGCAGGCTGAAGGGTCCTGGGTTTGATTCTGGTCAAGGGCACATGTTACAGGCTCCATCCCCTGTGCGGGGGTTTGCAGGAGGCAGCTGATCAATGATTCTCTCTCATCATTGATGTTTTCTATCTCTCTCTTCCTCTCTGAAATTAATAAAAATATATTTTAAAAAAGGAGAGGGGGGGCCTTGGAGACAGGAACCAGAGCCTGGGTGGAGCTACTGCTGCCTACTGCTCCCCTGGTTGCAAGTCCTGTCGGGACCCCTAGAGCTTAGGAAGAAATAAAAAGTTCATGCCCGGGAAGTGGCATGGGTGTGGCGTGAGCCTTTGTCCTGAGGGCTTTCATTCTTTCTTTTTATCTTTTTTTAAAAATATTTTTTTTTATTTCAGAAAGGAAGGGGGAAAGAGGAAGAGAAAGATGGAAACATCAATGATGATAGAGAATCATTGATTGGCTGTGTCATGCATGCCCCCCCCCCCCCACACTGGGGAGCAAGTCCACAACCCAGGCATGTGCCCTTGATTGGAATCGAACCCTCGAACCCGAGACCCTTCAGTCCCCAGGCCACCAGGGCTGTCCTGAGGGCTTTCTATCCCTTTTTGTTTCTGCAGGCAAGAATCTTAGGGGAGGGTTTCAACAGAGTATTCATTAGCTTCCTAGGTGTATTTTTTTTAATATGCTGATGCATTAAAATGAGTGTATAGGGGAGTTTTGGGTTCTTCTTTGGCCTGTTTTACTGTTATCTTAGGTCTGTCTGTCTTTAATGGTTTTTATTATTATTATTTGTTCCCCAACTTCATCTGCCCTTGGGGTTAGCTGGCAGAAATGGCATTAAGTAGGTCTTTGTTCTATTTTCCCAGGCCAGAGTGATTTAAGCTAGGGAGGAGAGGTATAAACCATTTGCTCTCAAGTGTCCTTGGTTGAGGAAGATAAGGTCTTGTGATTAATTTTCTTTTTTTCAAATATATTTTATTGATATTTTACAGAGAGAAAGGGAGAGAGATAGAGATTTAGAAACATTGATCAGCCGCCTCCCGCACATCTCCTACTGGGGATGTGCCCGCAACCCAGGTACATGCCCTTGACCGGAATCGAACCTGGGACCTTTCAGTCCGCAAGCCGACGCTCTATCCACTGAGCCAAACCGGTTTCCGCGTGATTAATTTTCTTGTCTCAGTTTCCCCATTGCACTTACCCAGGGATTTTCCTAGCTTCTTACTATGCTGCCATAACACCATTGGTTAAGAACTCTCAGTCACTAATATAAAATAATGTTGGATGTCACCCGTAACTGAAAAATAAATTCAAAAAGAAGAAGTCTACTTAATTACTCAAGAACGCATCCACACTATATTGAGTCTCAGGTTGTCAGTTTATGGAAAGGAATATACATAATTATCCATATTTTGTCAGAAAAAAATAGAGACTAGAGGAAAATACATGTAAATATTAACAATGATTATTTCTGGGGAGAGATATTGTGGGTGATTGCAACTTTCTCCTTTATAATTTTCCACATTCTAAAATATCTACAGTGAACATTGATTACTTTTCTAAAATAAAAAATCCTGATAAATATATATATATCACAATTATGAAGGCTTTGGCCAGCCCCTCCTTCCTGGCCAGGTATACCTCTGCCAGGATTGCCAGACTGAAGGTGGGAAGGAGTAGGTCTGGCTTCTAGATGGACAGGAGCAGGAGGCACCGGACCCCAGGCTCCCACAGGGATCCTGGGGAGGTTAGTGTGGAAGGAGAGGCCAGGCTCAGACTCTGCTGCCCACGTCTCTCCCCAGGGCCATCATCTCCATCCTGGGCATGTGGCTGGACCAGTTCCCTCAGGACTTTTTCCAGCCCCCAGACTTTCCGGGCCTGGTGACGCTGCTGGCCTACCTGGAGCTCAATTTCCCAGGCTCAGCCCTGGAGCGCCAGGCCCAGCTGCTCCTTTCAGAGCCGGAGCGCCGCGAGCCCACAGCCGCGGAGGCGGAGGGTGAGGAGGACTCGGAGCCGGAGCGCCGCGAGCCCACAGCCGCGGAGGCGGAGGGTGAGGAGGACTCGGAGCCGGAGCGCCGCGAGCCCACAGCCGCGGAGGCGGAGGGTGAGGAGGACTCGGAGCCGGAGAGCCGCGAGCCCACAGACGCGGAGGGTGAGGAGGACTCGGAGCCGGAGAGCCGCGAGCCCACAGACGCGGAGGGTGAGGAGGACTCGGAGCCGGAGCGCCGCGAGCCCACAGACCGCGGAGGGTTAGGGTGAGGAGGACTCGGAGCCGGAGCGCCGCGAGCCCCACAGACGCGAGGCCGGAGGGTGAGGAGGACTCGGAGCCGGAGCGCCGCGAGCCCACAGACGCGAGGGTGAGGAGGACTGGAGCCGGAGCGCCGCGAGCCCACAGACGCGAGGGTGAGGGTGAGGAGGACTCGGAGCCGGAGCGCCGCGAGCCCACAGACGCGGAGGCGGAGGGTGAGGAGGACTCGGGGAGGTGATGTGGGCGTGTGGGAGGAGATGGACCCGGGGAGGTGATGTGGGCGTGTGGGAGGAGATGGGGCTCGGCCACACGGAGAAGAGCGTTTAGAGGCCAGGGGCAGGGCCGGCTCAGATCACTGTCCCCACGGCCTGCAGTCTGGGAAGACTTCCTGGGGTGGCTCTGGCACTGGGACTCCGTGGATGGACAGGAGAGATGTTCCGTCCTTGGAAGGCACATGGAGGCAGTCATGGGGGTAACATGTTCTCTTCTGGGATCTACAGAACCAGCTCCAGAGCCAGGTAAAAAAAGACCTCAGGAGGCAACGCCGACACCCGTGGCCTCTCCGGAGCCAGAGTGGGCTCCGGGCACAGCTTTCACTGACCTTCACGAGGCAGAAGAACCACCTGCAGCATGTGGGCAACTCCCTTCAGCTCCTGCGAGGCCCGTGGTCCCCGGTCCTGGGCCGCAGCCTGTGTAGCTGCCACCGCAGAGGGGGCTTCCCCCTTGAGATGCAATTTTTAAATATTTATGTTCAGCATACATGTCTTCAAACTTTTACTGTAGTTTTGTATAATATTCAGTTAAAATAAGATGTATTTTAAATAAAATATAATAATATATTAATAAAAATAAACTTTAATTTTAGTAAAATATAATTTAAGTCTATGATCCTTCATAATGTAATTTCAGCTGCATTAAGTACATTCACAATTCCTTATGACCATCACATCACAATCACTCTCCAGTTCCAGAACATTCTCATCCAGGACAAACCCAGGACCTGTGACGCCTCATCCTTCCTACTCGATCCCTGTCAATCACTGATCTCTTTCTTTTCTTTTTAAAAAATTTTTTTAAAAATATGTATTTTTATTGATTTCAGAGAGGAAGGGAGAAGGAGAGAGCTATAAAAACATCAATGATGAGAGAGAATCATTGATTAGCTGCCTCCTGCTTGCCCCCTACTGGGGATCAAGCCCGAAACCCAGGCATATACCCTGACTGGGAATCAAACAGTGACTTCTGGTTCATGGGTTGATGGTCAACCACTGAGCCACACTGGCCTGGCTAAATTTTATTTTAAATTACAGCTTACATTTGGCTGGCCAGGTTCTATGTTGGTTTGACCAGCTGGTGCCCTTATTAAATTGGAGGGTTAAAATGATCATGAGTAAAAAGGGGAAAAAAAAAATAAGCTGACCCCTAGCTGGTCTGGCTCAGTGGATAGAGCGTCAGCCTGCAGACTGAAGGGTCCTAGGTTCGGTTCCAGTCAAGGGCACATGCCTGGGTTGTGAGCTCAATCCCCAGTGGGTGGCTTGCGGGAGGCAGCCAATCAATGATTCTCTCTCATTGATGTTTCTAACTCTCTCTCCCTCTCTCTTCCTCTCTGAAGTCATATATATATATTCTGAAAAAATGGTCATTGTAAAAGTTAAATATAAACACTCCTAAAAAATAGCTGTGATCCCCCCAAAACAAAATCTACTCCCTTTTTATTATTGATGAATACTTAGTTCATTTATGAGGACCACAGTGTTACAGGACCTTCTCTAGTCATTTTCCTTCCATGATTCTGCTGACCCTCACGGCACTGTTGAGAGTAATTTTTACCATTTCTTTTAAAGTTGAGGAAACTGGGAGTGAGAAAAGTAAGGTTATTTTCAAAGATCACACAGCTAATAAGTAGCAAGACCTGGATTCTGTCCCAGGTGGATCTCACTTCTAATCCAGGCTTTTATCTGTGATGATACAGACAGTTTCTTGTGAGGATTAAATGAAATAAAGCATGTTGAACATTTAACACAGTCCCTGATACACAGCAAGTCTCCAATACTGTTTGCTTCTTTAAAAAAAAAAAAATTTTATAGATTTCAGAGAGAGATAGAGGGAGATAGAAACATTAATGATGAGAAAGAATCATTGATTGGTTGCCTCCTGCACACCCCCTCCTGGGGATCAAGCCCATAACTAGGGCATGTGCCCTTGACCAGAATTGAACCCAGGACCCTTCAGTCCACAGGCCAATGCTCTGTCCACTGAGCCAAATCGGCTAGGGCTACTGCTGCTTCTTTTAAAATATATTTTTACTGATTTCAGAGAGGAAAGGAGAGGGAGAAAGAGATAGAAACATCAATGATGAGAGAAAATCACTGACTGGCTGCCTCCCACAAGCCACCCACTGGGGACCAAGCCGGCAACCCTGGCATGTGCCCCCGACCAGAATCGAACCTGATACTCTTCAGTCCACAGGCCTACGCTCCGTCCACTGAGCCAAACTGGCTAGGGCGCTTCCTTTTTTTAAATTCCTTTTTGCCTCATGATCATTTTATCCCTCCAATTTAACAAGACAACTAGCTGGTCAAACCAACATAGAACCCAGGATAAATGTATAAGCCAGTTTGTAATGAAATGTACTTTTATGATATGTTCAGAGAACATGAAATTGTTTTCCCTGTGATTCTTTTGCCTACAGAATGTTTTTCATGTTCTTAATCCTGAAATGCAGGATTTGGGACAATTGTAGTAATCCTACAGGTGCCCACTAGAGGACAGAAGAAAGTCAGGCAACATCTGAGAAGAAATAGTCAGAGACCAGTAGTCCTTGATTCTAGGATAGACCTTCCTACTATGGGAAACTTAGACACCAGAGTCTGAGAATTGTTTTGATTAAGCTCATTATTTTTAAGTTAGATAATGGGTCAGAAATCTCTCCCAACATTTTTTGTTGGTGGTGGTTTTTTGTTTTTGTTTTTTTCCTTTCAAAGGTAGTAAGGGGACAATTTTCATTTTATCATTTTGTATTTATACTTCTATTTTGGTTCTCATGTAATTCTGCATTATATTATTTTTATTTGCTTTCGTGCTTGGCATCAACCACCATTATATGTAAAACTTTTGAAGGCTGATGTCGTGAGAAGCTCATTGGAATGACACTAAGTCTCTCTGCCTTTTCCCCTCAGGGCTGTTGTTTGTTCTTGGTAAGAAACAAGAGACTGAGAAGCCGGGGAAGAGGGCAGCTGCTAAGAGTCAGAGAAAACAGAACCACTAAGTAACCTCATGGGCCAGGACAGGAGAAAAAATGAAGAAGAGGAAGAGGAGCAGAAAGGAGGAGGAGGGGAGGAAAAGAAGCATCGGGAGGAGCAGGAGAAGAGAAGAAGGAGGGGAAAGAAAGGTGGTTGTTTTTTCCAGGGAGTATTAATCCATTATGTGACTATACAACGGTTTGTATATCACTTCTCTGTTGATGGACATGTGGGTTTTATCCAGCTTTTCCCTGGTACAAATCACATTGCTCTGAACGTTTTTTTTAAGAACGCTTTTTGGATATATGCATTCATTTTTCTTGGGAAGTAAATAGAAGGGATATTACCAGGTAACAGGGTAGGTATATTTTTAACTTTGGGAGCTGCCAAACATTTGGAAAATGGTGGTGCTCAAATACAGTCCAATCAATATCACATGTAACCTCAGACATACGCAGTCCTGGGATTGAGAGAAAAAAAACAACTTGAAAAACCTATTTTTCTAGGGTATGTGTCTTCACCTTCTTTCAAATTCTTAATGGCATCTATGAAGATGGCTGTGGTCTCACCAAGTGTCACCACTGGCCTATTCAGCTCTGGCAGCAGAGCCAAAGAGATACTCCAGGGCCACCACTCAAGTCTCAGACTCAGCTCTGTGCCATTTAAAATGATTTCTTGTGCTTGCTTTCCATCCCTCCATTTTCTGGCCTGGATTTTACTGGACCTGTTAGCTGGTCATGGTCACAGGACTCTGTCAATGGCTCTAGAGCAGCCCAGGCAGGAACCAAAGGGGCCTATTTTGGCCAGAGAATAACAAAGAGATCCCCTTTGCCAAGAGGACACCAGAGAAGCTCTGAGATCAATGGGCTTGCGTGGAAAGGGCGCACAGGTCAGGTGCAACGGAACAGAGGGGAGGGAGGGCAGGGAGAACAGTTCCATGGTTCCTGGGTCCATTCGAGGCACTCGGTCATTGGTCAAGAGCCCAGAGCACTGACCGCTGGCGCCATGAAAAGGGCTCCCATGGCGCGGGTCACAGCCTGGAGGGGCGGTGTCCACACTGCTGTGAGCCAAGTCAAGAGCCGGTTCCCAAGAAGGTAAATCATGACAATGTCTGGCGTCCAATGAAAGAATGCCAGGCGTGCACAGAGGCAGGAAAGCATGACCCACAATGAGGAGAATAATCGGTGTATTGAAACCGAACCATAACTGACTTGTAAATTTAAGTCAGTGAGTGATGGGGCAACTTTAAAAGGCCTAATAAATGAGTAATGGATTCCCTGAAAAGACTGGGGGTGAAGAGACAATTTTGAAAAAACAATGACAGAAAACTTTCCCATCGTGATAAAGATGATAAACCCACCAATCCAAGGAGCCAAATGAACACAATGAACGAGCACGAGAAACAGAAAGAAAACCACATCTAGTCACATAATTAAATTGCTCAAATCCATTGAAAGAGCAAAAGTCTCCAAAGCTGCTACATGCTACATGCTACATACTAAAAAATTATGTCAGATTTCTCATCAGAAACAGTGCAAGTGAGAAGATGGTGGAGCAGCAGTTTTAAAGGACTGAGGCGGTAGAAGGGGCGCGGCAGGTCAAAGTAGCATTCTCTGCCTCCCTCAGAAGTCTTTCAAAAATGAAGGTGAATGATGACATTTACAGAAGCATAAATGCTGAAAGACTTCACCACCAGCAAACCCACACCACAAGCAAAGTGCTTCCAGAAAGACGGACACTGATACCAGATAGAAATCTGGGTGACCAGGAAGGGATGAAGAACGACAGACATGGTACCTGCCCGGGAAAACATATAAGATGTAAGATGTCTTATCATTTACATCCCTTTAAAAATGTGGGATAGACACAACAACAGTAATAATGGTGGATTTCGGGGCTTATAGCATATGTCAAGTGCAATGCATGATGACTACAGTATAAGGGCAGGCAGGAGGGAAATGGGTAGAGGTACTCTACCACTTGAAGGCAGACTGTGGTAAGTTACAGATGTGCGCTCTAGAGCCTAAAGCAGCCGCTGAATTAAAAAAGGAGAGAGTGACATATAATAAGTCAACAAAAGGAGAGAAATTGGAATCCTATAGAAAGCATGTAAACACAAGTTAGAGCAACTGCTCTTCTGGGACTCTACCCTATAAAACGCTTGAACAAGTGGCCAGATATTTGTACAAGAACGAAGAGTACAGCATACTTTTAACCCCACATTAATTTGAAAAGTATATGGAAAGTGTTCAAAAAATGCTATTGCAAACAAACAATGATTGCTGGATTTCCCTTGGCCTGTTTTCTGTCCCTGATTTGGGCCAAGTCCCCTTGTAGTTCAGGAGGCACAGAAGACAAGAGGGTAGTAATGGAGTAGGCCTCTTTTAATGGTTGGAAGAGAACCCGCAAAGAAAGAGGTGCAAAGGTTTGGCTTCTTGAGAGTAACAAAGACGTCCCTGGGTGGGCTCGAACCACCAACCTTTCGGTTAACAGCCGAACGCGCTAACCGATTGCGCCACAGAGACCGATGGGGACTAGACACTCAAGGTAGCAGAGAGCAAGTCTTTAGTCACCGCTAGTAGCGCCTTATCCCTGTTACTGGGCAGAGGACCGTGTAGACTCCAAAACCTCGGAGAACCGTAGAAGTGGAGTTCACGCTGCGTGTTGGTCGCGTTTGAAACGCGTGCATTGGGTGATTCCGAAGGCAATGTGCAGCCGAATGGTCTCCCTGGCCTTGCTCTACTCTCTCCTTAGATG